GAGTGAATCTTTGTTCTAAGTCTGAATGCTTTACAAAGAATGTGTATAATTTTTGCCCCTCTTTCTCTCTCTGCCAACCCTACAATTTTTACTTGTAAAAGAAGAAAATTAAGAATGAAAACACATCAAGATTTGGTGGTTTAGTTGCTAAGTTGTGTCCAACTCTTGTGACCCCATGGACTGTAGCCTGTCAGGCTCCTCTGTCCATGGGATTCTCCAGGCAGGAATACTGGAGTGGGGTGCCATTGCCTTCTTCGGGGGATCTTCCCAACCCGGGGATCAAACCTAGGTCTCCTGCATTGCAGGCAGATTCTTTACCAACTGAGCAACCAGGCAAGCCCACATCAAGAACAATGGCTAAATCTGTGTGATAGAAATATGGATACTTATTAATTTTTTTCTTTGCTTTTTTCTTTATATATGCTAATTTCCCAAAATTAAAAGTCTTTAAGAAAGAATTGCAGTCAACTCATCAGCTAGGGACAGGAATTTGTCTCCTCTGGAACCTGATGAAATAACAGAAAAGGAAAGGTTTTAAGGGAAAAGACAGGAAGGATATTCACCAAACAAACGTACTTTGGAGGAATGTTCATCCCCATTGCCTCCAAGGTTGCAGGAATGCCCCCAGCCCCAGATCCGGGAAGCACAGTGAGGCGGTCCGGGCCCCTGACCAGCTTTGGTTTCTCAGGCACTGCTGCCCCATCCTTCAGTCATGAGCACCGCAAAGATGGCAGGACTTGAAAACAAGGCCATAGCAGCGTGGACAGCATCTAAGTAAGTGGATGGGGCTCTGGTAGCTAATTGTCTGTGGCCTCACAGAATGAAGCGTCCAGTGAGGGGAAGATGTTGGTTGAGCCACAGCAGGAGACGGGGCTCCGTGCCTGGATGAAGAAGACCCTCCGGAGGAGGCAGTGGCTCCCCACTCCAGTCCTCCTGCCTGGAGAACCCCACAGACAGGAGCCCAGCGGGCTCGCAAAGAGCCAGACATGACTGAGTGTCTAAACGACAGTAGTACTAAACAAAATGAAGGCACAGGAACCTCGAAGACTGCTAACTGGAAACCCAGGGATCCTTCATGACTGTGCTGAAGAAACAGTTGTAGCCACAGTACTGAAGTAATCAAAAGCAAAAGTCAGCATTTGATCCTGCAGGTGGCCAAATCATATCGTGGATTACACAAATTTCATCAATATTTTTATGTGACGGTAAGGAAATTTAGTCAAGTAGGAGCCATACTATTGAAATACTTATATTTGTGAGGATTTGGAAGATTCTGAGTATCAGGCAATATGCGGAGGGCTGTGTGGGAATGGATGACGTTGGTGAGCCAAGAGCCTGGATGGGCAGCTTGTAGCTAATTACTGAATTTATCAGTATGGGTTCAGTTACCACATTCAGGATTTAGAATTTTGGTTTGAGCAGCTGAGAGTGATTTCAGTTGTTTGCTAGACTGGTTGAAGAAACTGAACTTGACCGTCATCTGCTCTGAACTCCAGTAAGGTGATCCCTGAGTTGGGAAGATCCCCTGGAGAAGGGAAAGGCTACCCGCTCCAGTATTCTGGCCTAGAGAATTCCATGGACTATATATAGTCCATGGGGTCGCAAAGAGTCCGACACGACTGAGCGACTTGAAAAGGTGATGTAAAAGAAAGAACCAAATATCTAGGAAATAGGAGTGCTAGAGTGGATTTATCACGTGAGAATCTCACAAAGCCACATGTTCCTGGAAGAGACCCAGCACCCAGCCCCTTAAGCAGGGCACCGAGAGGTGAAAGTAGTGCATTCCAGAGTGTTTTCCAGGGCCTTTACTTTCACTGGAGCTGGAGCAGTCTTTTGGTTGCAGAAGTCAACTAGTAGCAATTAGCACAAGCCAAGGGGACTTGGTCACCACGTTAAAGAGTGGGGCTGGAGTGATAATCAGTGGGCTTTCCTGCAGAGATCTTGACCAGTGATTCAGTGATGGCAGGGTGCTTAAGACCATCACTAAGGCGCTGCGGCAATAGAGTCACAAAAAAACTCCTAGCCTGGTGAGCAGAGGTCCGGCCGTCGTGATTTCCAGACCTGAATCAAGTCATAGAATCTGTACCACTTGAAAGAAGTGGAGACTGTGTATTGTTGAGAAAGGCTTCTGCCAGAACATCTCAGGTTCAGTGGGAGCTTTGCCTTCAGCCTTCCCCGAAGGATGTGGGGCTGCTTCAGGCTGCTGTGAAATAAAGAAGAATACTCAGCTTATTGGACATCAACTCTGAGCTAACATTCTCTACTGGAGAATCAGGAAGTCCTTGTCCACCGTTCAGGAGAGAATTTATGGGGAGGAAGTGATAAGTACGGTGGAGTTCTGACCGGACTCTGCACCGTAGCAGTCCCAGGGGAACCCTGAACAAGTCAGCCATGGTCAGGGTCATCTTGGCCATTCACTGGTCCAGGGAGTGAAGGTTAACGGGAAAAGAAGGGCCCCTGGAGCTCCACCCTCCTGAGAAAACAGTGAAGTAGTATTTACAACCCTAGGAGAAATCCCACAAAGTCATGCCACCATTCAGGACAGGAAACGTGCTGGTGTGATATTATCCACCGGGGGCCCATTTAACTCCTCAGGATGGACAGTGCAGAAAAGGAGTGAGTTTTAGAGAATATCAGGGCCTACCTACTTACATGTTCTTCTGTTTGCCTAATGTGTCATTAAGATGTATCTGAGATGGTTAAGAATTGAAAGAGGTGTGTTAAGAAGAATACAGACGCACATTCCCTGGTGGTCCAGTAGTTAAGATCCAGTGCTTTCACTGCCGAGGACCCAAGTTCAATCTTTGGTGAGGGAGCCAAGATCCCACAATGTGATGTGGCCCCCCCAAAATAATAAAAATATTCAAAAAATAAAAACAAAATACTTAAAAGGATATAGGTATTATATAAGTTTAATCTTACAAAATGGGTAGTAATGCCAGGTTTCAAAAATTGATGGAACAAGAAATAGAGATTTTTAAATGGTGAGAGTTTCAAATGTAACCAACAAGAATTCTAAATGGTGATATTTACTATGAAAAATTGGGAGGGAGAAAAGAAAGGTTAATGTAAGTGAGCTAAGGTCGCATCTATCAAAGCAGGAAACAATGATGTCTAAGGTCAACATGTCAGGATATAATACAATAAGCAGATATGGTGATAACCCCCCAAAATGACTTCAGTTCTCTATTACTGCATTAGGCATTCCAAAACCTCATGGCTTAAAACACTACTTTCTCTCTCTTGGGTCAGTGGGTCAAGAGCTCAGGGGAGCTTGGCTGGGCAGTTCCGGCCAGGAGCCACGTGCACAGCTGGGGTCAGTGGCTGGAGCTGGGAGCACGTCTGGGGACAGCGGACATCTCTCTCCAAGTCTTGGGTTCCCTCCAAGTGATGGGTTGCAACACCAAATACACTCAGGAATTGTTCCCACCAGAAGTGTGTAATCTGAATCCAGCCAAACCATAGACCTGACTGCTGGTTATAGGAAGTTCAGGGGAGAGAGAAGTAAACCACATCATGGGGAGCCAGTCAGGCCAAAGAGTGTGCAGGACGTCTGCTAGAAAGCTTGCCTGGTCTCCAAAAAGTCGGTACCAAATGGACGGTTGAGGGGGTTTCCTAGGTTAAAAGGATCCTCTAGGTCAGAATACTGGAGTGGGTAGCGTTTCCCTTCTCCAGGGGATCTTCCCAACCCAGGGATGGAACCCAGGTCTCCCACATTGCAGGTGGATTCTTTACCAGCTGAGCCACAAGGGGAGCCCTAGGTTAAAAGAAACTGATGACAACCCAGAACCGAATGCGCAGTAAGAACATTGATTTGCATCCTGGTTTGAGGGGAAAACGGCTGTAAAAGACACTGGAGGTAATTGAAGAAATCTGACTACAAACTAGATATCAGATACTTTGAAATTGTTATTGTTCTGGATGTGATCATGATGTGATTATGTTGGTGTTTGTGGGGACCTTGTTTTCAGATGATACACCCTGAATTCTGCACATACAGTGATGGGGGAGGAAAGCCCACGATGTCTGCAACTACTTTAAAGTTGTTCCTACCCACATTCACATCCCCTCATAAAGAATATTTGACTGAGTAAATAAATAGGACTGAAGGATTAGGGGTCATTTCTGGAGGAGATGAAATTGAAGAGTCAACTTTAAAAACATGTAGTGGTTTTTAGAAAATCATCACCAACTGATCTTCATATTTCCCAAGCACTTAACACAGACCCAGGACTTATCTGTGAACAAAGTCGTGGAACTGTCCTTGTTGTATACAACCGAGCACAATCCTGGTTGAAATGGTAAGGTACTTAAGTGCAGGTATTCCTTGATATGGAAATAGTTGTGTCTTAGAATGTTGTCAAAACTCTAAGACTTACAGCCTATTTTCCCAAAGATGATTATAAAGTTGCCAGTGGCTTCTTGAAAGATTTGTGGCCTAAGACCTCCTCCGTTGCACATTAAAAGGCTTTCCTGTGTTTAATTGCAAGGTACGATGTCTTAGACCATAAATAATTCCTTTAAGAATCCACTGACAAAAAAATAAATAAAAAAAGAATCCACTGACAATTTTATAGAAACCTTTAAACATTCTATATTAAAAAGTAGTAACAAAGTATCAAAGGAGTTCTAGGTTATTAAATAAAAACTTTGAAAATGGAAGAAACTGGTGGCAGCCACAGGTAAATGAGGGTTTCCCAGGCAGCTCAGACAGAAAAGAATCTGCCTGCCATGCCCTAGAGCTCGGTTTGATCCCTGGGTTGGGAAGATCCCCTGGAGAAGGGAAAGGCTACCCACTCTTTTCTGGCCTGGAGAATTCCATGGACTGTATAGACCATGAGGTCCCAGAGTCGGACACGACTGAGTGACTTTCACTTCACTTCACAGGAAAGTGGGAAAGATGATGTTAAACGTGTTTGACATCAGCAATACGGTGGGCACTGCACTAGCCAATCAGAATGGCCGAGCTCTCAGCACGCGTCAGTCTCCAAGGCGACAGGTCTAGAATCTTAATAAAGGTACACCCACACCTTTCCAGTAAGAGGTAGAACCTGTGTTCTCACTGATTCCTTCTGCTACAGGTTTGACTACAGAGTAGAGAAAACCTTTTGACGACTTTTTCTATTTCTCAGGGGATGCTGAAATTATTGGAGCTCGCTACCAGCAAGCCTAAATGTCAGTTCACAGACTCCAGACAGAAGCATCATATTTCTACACTATAAGTAAGTCAAACCCAAATCTGCTGTGCGGTCTGGAAAATCACTGTTGGTCTTCACTAGACCTCATCCTCCAAGGATCACACTGAAGTCCTCTGGAGCAGGAGGTAGATCTCTAGTCCAGAACCTCTGCGGCCGTTTTCGTTCTTCAGGTTCGCTGATGTCCCTCCGCTCTGGTTTCCGCAGCGTCAGGCAGGAACCCCGCGCCGCCTGGTGTGAGGTCCGGCCCTGGGGGAGCAGGTGGGCCAGCCCTCGGATCTCTGGGCAGAGGAACCCCCCTCTCCCGCCTGGAGCTTGCGAAATCTCCTCTGAGGGTATTCAGCTTAACCTCGTCAGTGACATGAGAGGTTAGTGGTGGGGGAGCCAGAAGGAAGGAAAGTATTGCGCAAGAGATTGTTTCTGCCTGTTTACTCGATGCGAGGGAAGCCTGCCATCTTCCGACAACTGGGAGGAGAAAACAGAAAAAATAACCCTGCCACACAGGGCTAGGTCATCCCAGGAAGGTATCTCCAGGAAAGTCTAGAAATAAAAACAGCTTTCTTTGAGTTGTAGAATTTCTAAGTAAACATTTTTTCTTTATGCTCTTGTTTTCTACGTTTTATGAAGGGAGCATTTTTTTATTGAGGTAAAATATGCATAATATAAAATTTACCATTTTTTAATATTTTTGAGTGTAACACAATTCAGTGGCATGAAGTACATTCACAATGTTGTGGAACCATCAACAAACACTATTTCCAGAACTCTCGACCCAAACAGAAACTCTCAGCCCGTTAAATAATAACCCTCTCATTCTCCCTTCCCTCTAGCCCCCGAGGACCACTGTTCTACTTTCTTCCTCTGTGAATTTGCCTATTCTAGGTACTTCATATAAATGGAATCTATAGCATCTTCCCGTTTGTATTGGTTTATTAATGCAGCGTGTATTAAAACAAAACATTCAAATAGCTTCAGTAAAGACTGTCCCTTATGAGTTACACTGTTGATGACTCAACCTGCATTAGATAAGTTAAGGAGAAAGGATCAAGCTCATGCCTCACAATAAAAATGCTACATAGTGTAATTATAGGCATGTAATGAAAGATCGAGGGCAGGAGGAGAAGGGGACAACAGAGGACGAGGTGGTTGGATGGCATCACCAACTCAGAGGACATGCGTTGGAGCAATCTCCGGGAGTTGGTGATGGACAGGGAAGCCTGGCATGCTGCAGTCCATGGGGTCGCAAAGAGCTGGACATGACTGAGCGACTGAAAACAACAATATGAGTCATTGCTAGTTCACTCATAATTTTGTTATGAAAACAAAACAGAAAGCTGTCGGTGTAATCGTGTTCCATTAACTGTTGTTCAGTCACTCAGCCATGTCCAACTCTTTCCTCCTGCCCTCAACCTTTTCCAACATCGGGGTCTTTCTTAATGAGTTGGCTCTTCCCATAAGGTGGCCAACAGTTATTATAAACTGTTGCTTCATAATAATTCCAAAATGCAACGGCTCAAAACAATGACGACCGTTTACTTTGCTCATAACTGCTGAATGTATGGGCTCCATGCTCTGCCACTGCGGGAGAGGATGCTCTTTGAAGATGGCTGTTCACACAGCTGGCAAGCGGTGTCAGCTACTGACTGGGAGTCCAGCGGGGCTGCGGGCTGGAGGCCTCAGCTCTCCTTCAAATGGACCTCTCCATGGAAAGGCTGAGCTCACTCAGAGGACAATGCTTCACTGCAACGGCGAGTGCTTCAGGAAAACCAGGGAGAAGCTGCGGGGCCTTTCCCATGTTGTGACCACAAGGCCCACCGTGTCACTTCGGCCACAGTCATTTGGTCAAGGCAGTCACAAGGGTCCACCGGCGATCATAGACCCCACCTCTCAGTGGTGGTCACATTCAAAGAACATGTGGGACTGGAGAGATTGTGGCCACCATCCTTGGAAAATATAGTTTGTTGCAAAAATAATTCTCTGTATTCAACACTTTTATGCATACTTCCCATGAACAGCCTATACAATTGTGTCCTTCTCCTTCTTTATGATTGTTCAGATGACATTTATTAAAATGCATTTTTAAGTCTGTGGACTCTAATAGTAAATCTTTAAAGGTTGTATTTTGCAAGCCTTTGTTTTGGTTTGGTTTCATTTTTCTAATTGGTTGGCCACAGAAAGGAAATCAAGAAGGAAACTGGACATACAACACGATTTGAGAAGCACTGGTCTCACTGAAGAGTGAAGAGGGCAGTGCTGCCTGGGGGTCGCCCGTGAGTCCTGCAGAATGTGGGGGACGCTGGGGACCCGGAAGCAGCAGGGAGAGGCAGCGGCAGGCGGCCCCTGTGAAGCGTGGGAGTGCTGCCTTCCCTCCGCCTTCCTATTCTGTGTTAATTCTTGGCTGTGCTGGGTCTGCCCTGCTGCTTGGGCTCTTCCTCAGTTGCAGTCCATGGGCGTCTCTCTGCAGGGCCTCCCTGCAGTGGGCCACAGGCTCCAGGCACTCGGGCTTCAGAAGCTGCAGCTCAGGGCTGGGCTCCCGAGCGCAGGTTCAGTCATTGTGCCAGATGGGCTTAGTTGCTCCAAGGCACATGGAATCTCCCCTGACCAGGGATCGAACCCATGTTCCCTGCGTGGGCAGGCGGATTATTTACCGCTGAGCCACCAGGGAAGCCCCTCTCTGCCCTCTTTTTATAATCTCCCATCAGCATAGTTTGTAGTGGTGTTGTTCGCCTGTATAAACGAGGTGTAACCCTTACTTAGCCCTGGATCCACTTCCTCTGATAAGATCTGTGCGTCTTTACCATAGCAATGATAAAATTTGCATACTTCTTTTGAGTCGCTAATATATTTTTGTTTTTATTTATTTGGCTGTGTCGGGGCTCAGTTGCAGAACGTGGGATGCTTCTCTGCGGCGCGTGAATTCTCTGCGGCCTCTCTCGCTGTGGAGCTGGCTTAGTTCCGCCAGGTCTGGGGGATGGATCTTAGTTCCGCAACCAGAGATCGTACGCGTGTCCCCCAGGCTGAGAGGCAGATGCTTAACCACTGGCCACCAAGGAAGCCCCAGTAATATATTTCTTAATGTTTGCCTTTACGGTGGTGAATATTTATACTTCTTGACTTGATTTGTCAACTTTAACCAGTATCTTTGGGTATCAGGTGCAAAACAGGCAGTTAATAAAAGTCATCCTACCTTCCAAGTGTTTTCCTTCTTTCCCTCCTAAAAGGTTCTATTATTTCTGCCTTATTTAGGTATAACACTTATATAACACTAGCGTCTTTACCCTAGACACTACATTTGTTTTAATCTTTGTTATACAGTTAAACTTATTTCATTTGCCAAATTCTCAAAAGACAGTCCTTTCACTCTGCTCTTCTCGGTCGTCTTGTGACTGGCTGAGGTTTCTGCTAGAAACTGGATGTCTGCATCCCCCAAAGTCACATGTGAAACCCTAAGGCCCAAGGTGATGGTATCGGAAGGTGGGGTCAAGAGAGGTGGCTTTGGCCTCACAAACCGGATCAGCAGCCTCGTTAGAGACCTCGGAGAGCTCCCTGCCCTTTCCAAGTGAGGCCACAGAGACACGCTGGCCTCTGGGGACCCGGAGGTGAGCTCTTACCCAACACCCAACCTACCAGCCCATGGTCTTGGACTTTCAGCCTCTACAATAGACAGAAATGGATTTCTATTGTTTATAAGCCACCCAGTCTATGGTATTCTGTTAGAGCTGCCCAGAAAGACTAATGTAATAACCTTAATGCTTTTCTCAAGAGGCACTCATGGGGAAAATATTGATCATTATACATTCAAGGGTGAAATACAGATTAGCTGGATAGAAAACTTTGCTCAACATTTCCTTCCTGGAGGATCTTATAGATGTATCATTGTTCCCACACATGGAATGTCATTGTGGAGAAATCTGAAACTAGCCAGATTTCTTTTTAAACAAGTGACCTGATTTTTTTGAGGGGGGGCTGGGGGGCCTGTTGGCAAAGTCTTCCTTCTTTTAAACCCAATGTGCTTTTTTTCCCTATAGTTTTACATTTAAGCCCACGATCCATTCTGTTCTCCAGAAAACCAGAACTAATAGAAGATATGAACATACGTGTGTATGAAATGCAAGACTTTGGCTCCCATGGTTCTGAAAGCTGGCATAGTCCAAGATCTGCAGGGTGAGCTGGCAAGCTGGAGACTTAAGAAGAGCTGAGGTTTCAACTCAAGTCCAAAGGCAAGAAAAATGGGCAGTGTTCTAGTTAAACGTTCATCAGACAGGAATAATGATCTCCTCCTTGGAGGAAGGTCAGTCTTTAGGTTCTTTGCAGGCTTTCAACTGACCCGCACTGGGAAGGCTAACCTGCTTTACTCAGCCTGCTGATTGAAACGCTTGTCTCATGAGATACCCTCTCACAGAAGTACCCAGGGTGAGGTTTGACCAAATAGCTGCGTACCGAGTGGTCCAGTCAACCTGACACATAAAGTTAACCATCATATTATCTGAGTCAACTTTTGCAGAAGGTGTAAAGCTGAGGTTGAGTTTCATTTTTTTGTCGATGGATGTCCAATTTTCCCAGCATTATTTCTTGAAAAGGCTACCTTTCCTCCATCAAACTGCTTTTGCAACTTTGTCAAAAGCCTGTGGCATGTGTAGCTGTGGGTTCTGGGTTTTGCTGGGTTCTGCTCTCTCTGGCTGCTGCAGTCTTTGTTACTGTAGCCACATAGTAAGTCTTGAAATCAGGTAGACTGGTTACTCCCCCTTTCCCCCCGTGTTTTAGATACTGTAGCTCCTTTACCTTTACATATAAATTTTAGAAGAATCTTGGCTACAACTACAAAAAAAATATTGCTAAGATTTTGATTGGAAAAACACACTTTATAATAAAATAAATTTTAAAAGTTGAAAAAATAACAGCAAAAAAGTAAAACTAAGCCCATGAAGTCCAACAGTGGGCAAGGAGCTGTCCCATCCGGCGGCTGTCCGCGTGGCACGCCGGCCGCAGAATGAAGGCCTCGGAGAAGCGGGACGGGGACTGGAGCGGCTGTGACGGGAGTGGGGCAGGCGCACACGCGGTGCCGAGTGTGCGGACCTCGGCGTGAGGCAGGCCAAGCAAGGGCCGCCAGATACACTTCCCCCCTTTCGAGGGGCTTCCGGGGGAGAAGGGGCGGGGAGCACGCTGCCGTAATTACGCAGCTCTCCTCACGGAGAGAAGACGACGGTACGGCTACGCTTTACTCTTTTTTCTTCACGGTGCCTCAACTTCCTTATTTTTCCACCTGACGCAGTATTCCCAAGGACCAGTGGTGTGGGTGCTGAATCAGGGATCATCGCTAAGTGAGAGACTTAGCTATGCTTTGAAACCTTCAGACCAGAATCCCTAAGAGGCTTAGGGGTGGATAACGCCTTCACTCCACCTGGCAAACCCATGCATTGATCTGCCTGACTGACCGTGAATGCAGATATATTGCCCACGCTGTGCTGTGTGTGATGCCTGGTCCCTCCGTCACGTCCGACTCTCTGCGAACCCCTGGACGGCAGCCTGCCAGGCTTCTCTCTGTCCGCGGGGTGCTCCAGGTAAGAATACTGGAGTGGGGAGCCATTCTCTTCTGCAGGGGATCTTCCGGACGCAGGGATCAAATTCGGGTCTCCTGCAATGCAGGCAGATTCTTTACTGCCTGAGCCCCCAGGGAAGCCTAGTGGTTGCCAAAAGCCCACTAGCTGTATTCCTGCGTCACGTTACCATACACAAAGAAGAGTGGGCTGAGAAGGGTTTTTTTCTAGATTAATATCTGTGCCAGCAATCTGGAAAAGCAGGACACTAGGCTGAATACAATGTCCCTTCCAATGTGTTCAGTACGAGGTTGAACACAATGTCCCTCAAACACAGTGATTTGAGTAAAAGCAAATCATAAATAGGAGAAGTGGTAACCAAAGAAAAAGGAATAAATCAATGGATTACGTGACAAAGAAAAAGCAACGTTACATGAATTCCTTGAGGGAAGCTCAGAGCACGGGGTGATGGTCTCTGAAAACTGCAACCCTGAGCAGCCTGCTTTGGGAGACATTTTGGTCAAGTGATGTGTTGATAAGCTGGACCAATTGTTGGTAATTGAGTGAAACTCCAGCAAATGTGACAATATCTGTTTTTAAATTGGGGCATAGTTGCTTTACAATGTGTTGTTAGTTTCTCTTGTACAATGAAATGAATCAGCGATGTGTATACATGTAGCCTTTCGCTCTTGGACCTCCCTCCTACCCCAGCCCCATCCCAGCCCTCTAGGCCGCCACAGAGCACCGAGCCGGGCTCCTTGTTTGATACAGGGGGCTGCGTGCCCACTAGCTGTCTCCTTTACACACGCTAGTTTATATACGTCGGTCCCAGTCTCTCAATTCATCTCACTCTCTTTTCCCCTCCCAGGTCCACATGTCTGTTCTCTATATCTGCATATCTATTCCTGCCTGCAAATAGGTTCATCTGGACCACTCTTCTAGAGTCCATATATATGCATTAACAAACTATATTTGTTTTTCTCTTTCTGACTCACTTCACTGTGTATGACAGCCTCTAGGTCTGTCCACATCTCTACAAACGATTCAATTCCACTCCTTTAATGGCTGAGTACTATTCCACTGTATATATGTACCACTTCTTCTTTATCCATTCACATGTCAGTGGATCGCTAGGCTGCTTCTGTGTCCCGGCCATTATAAATAGTGCTGCAATCAACATCGGGGTGCATGTGTTTTTCTGAATTGTGGTTTTCTCAGGGTATATGCCCAATAGTGGTGTTTCTGGGTCATATGGTAGTTCTATTTTTAGTTTTTTAAAGCACCTCCATACTGTTCTCCATAGTCGCTGTATCAGTTTACATTCCTGCCAGCAGGGAGAGAGGGTTCCCTTCTCTCCAGACCCTCTCCAGCATTTATTATTTGTAGATTTTTTGAGGATGGCCATTCTGACCTGTGTTTTGATTTGCATTTCCCTCATAATTAGTGATGTTGAGCATCTTTTCATGTGCCTCTTGGTCATCTGTACATTTTCCTTGGAGAAATGTCTGTTTAGGTCTTCAGTCCATTTCATTCTTTTTCTGGCTATGTCTACTACTCACACCTAGATAGGGTTTCCCAGGTGAGTCACCGGTAAAGAATCCACCTGCCAATGCAGTAGACACAGGTTCGTTCCCTGGGTTGGAGAAGGAAATGGCAGCCCACTCCAGTATTCTTGCTGCAAAATCCCATGGACAGAGGAGCCTGGCAGGCTACAGTTCATGGGGTCACAAAGAGTTGGACAGGCCTTAGCAACTAAACAACAAGAAACACACCTGGATATGATGTAACACTGGCATCATCTTGTGGCAAGATTGCAATACGGATACTGGTGGTTAAATCTGTTGGGAAATTCAGAGCCTCCTACTTCACACTGCCTCCTCCAAATACGAGGCATATATTTGTTCTGTTGTAGAAGAGCAAGGATGGCCTGGACCCCAGAGAAGTTCTTGCCATTTCCTTTGGCTTCTTGGAGGTGTTCTCCCTCAGACCTGATGAAGTGCCCTTCTTCAGATGAGGGCTGGTGACATTGGACTTTAGGGTGGGGCCTGCCCATTCCAGAAAGACCAGTCGTGTGATTTAGGTGGAAGTTCCCTGTTGTGTTATCTGCTAACCTGGAGACTGCCTTCAGCCACAAAGGCCATCAGTCAATCTCTTATGAATGAAGCTGCAGTATGAGCTCTGGATGCCAGAGGAGCTTCCTTGGTGACCTGCCCTAGCTGGCAAGTCCCCATGGGAACTGTCGCACCCAGTGTTGGGAGGTCCACGCCTGGAGAGTTCCAGACTGTGCCCTTGCTGCTGTTTAGTCTCCGAGCCGTGTCTGACTCCTTCTGTGACCCCATGGATTGTGGCCTGCCAGGCTCCTCTGTCCATGGAATTGCCCAGCAAGAATACTGGAAACTTTTCCAGAGAATCTTTCAGACCCAGGGGTTGAACCTGCAGCTAAGCGTCTCTTGCATTAGCAGGCATATTCTTTACCACTGAGACACCAGGGAAGCCCAGACTTGGCCCTATGTAGTATCTCTTGGCTGACCCTCATAAACCATAATCATGAGTGTAACAGCTCTCACTGAGCTCTGAGTCCTTCTAGCAAATAATCAAACCTGAGGGTGGCTTGGGAACCGTGCCTCCAAACTTTTAATTGATGTCAGAAGTCTTGGGGACTCATATCTTATGATTCGTCTAATTCTGGGCAATAAATTAAGAAGAAAAACTCAAGATCACTTCCTTTGTTTCTGAGCTCTCTAGTATTTCTAAGAATAACTTCAAAAAAGTAAAGCACATAAGCAAATAAAAAATATGTGCCTTTTGCAAACTAAAACCCTAACAAAATGTCACTTCACACCCACAGTGGAGGCTGTAATTAAAAAGATAAAAACAAGTGTTGGTGAAGATGTGGAGAAACTGGTATCTTTATACACTGCTGGTAGGGATTATAAAATTGGGCAGCTGCTTTGGAAAATGGTCTGGCAGTTTTGCTTAAAACAGTTATTATAAGATCCAGCAATTCCACTCCTAGGTATACACCCAAGAGAAATGAAAAACTTCTACATGAATTTCAACAGCAGCATTGTTCATATTAGCCAAAAAGTAGAAACAACCTAATGTCCATCAATTGATGAATGGATAACTGATATATGGTTTGTCCACACAATGGAATTTGGTCATAAAAAAACACGAATTACTCATACACTGTACCACATGGATGAACCTTGAAAACGTATGCTGACTGAAAGAAGCCGGTTACAAAAGGCTATCTATTCTATAATTCCATTTATATGAAATATCCAGGATAGGTAAATTCATGGAGACAGAAAGATTAGTGATTACTTAGGGCCCGAGGGGGTGCGAGGAAATGGGGAGTGACTGTTAACGGTTAGGGATTTGTGTGTGTTTTCAGAGTGCAGCTAAATGACGGTGGTGATATTTGCACAACTCTGACTATATAATGTACTTTAAACAGGTGCATTGTATGGTATGCGAATTAGATCTCAATAAAGCGTTTGACTTTTTTAAACCCTGCCTTGGTAAAAGATGAACTCTGAACTCAAGGAAGCTGAATGACCTGAGCGATTTTAGAACTCCCTGTCCAGGCCTTCCCGGTCCTCGGCAAGCGAAAGTGCGCTGTGACCATTTTTTGAGCACGAAAGAAAATACGAAATGGAGCCCGGGATTCGCGGGCCTGATGCCAGGCCTTCCGCGCTAGACCGAGGCCCGGAGGTCCGGACCGACGCGTAGACAGCCCCCTGCCGCCGCCTCCGACCCGGGGAGGCTCGGAGCGCGGCCCCGCAGCCCTAAGGAGCCCCCGCCTCCCCGGCGGAAGGTGCTGGTCCCGTCCGGGCGCCGGGGACGTCTGGCAGCCCCCGGACGCCCCGGACGCCCCGCGCGCCGGGAGCCGACCCCACCCCTTTTCGCCGCAGGCCGCGCCCGGAGCCAAACACCGGCTTAAGCCTCTCCCCGGCCCCGACCCCGTCCCCGCCCCCAAGCCTCNAGGCCGGCCGCTCCCCGGCGGGCAGGCCTGCCGCCCCGCGCTGTCTCCTCCGCGGGCTCGGGGGGCGCGCGTCCGCGCCCGGGGCGACTCCGGGGCCCCGGGGTTTCTGTGCTTCGGCTCCCCGATGAGTCCGCCGAGGGGGCGGAGGGGCCGCGGGACACCGCCGGGACCCCGCGGTCGCTGGCGACCCGGGCGCGGCGCGCGGCTCTGGCCGGGGTCCGGGGCTCCGCCGGGGCAGCCCCCGGAAGGCGCCTTGCGCGAGTGACAGCGGGCAGAACGGTCCGGGAAGTGAGTCTCTCCGGCGGAGCGGCAGCCCTCGCGAGCGGCGTTGGGGCCATTCTGCCCCGTCTGCACGGCCTGTACCTGCTGGACTCGGCCTGGGGTCGGCCGGTGCCGTCCCCGTGTAGAGTCAGACGGTTGAGCCAGAGGACCTGGCTTGTGCGTTTGTGATGAAGGGGACGTCGGTGGGTGGGTTTGTTTTTTATCAGAAACTCTGCGACGATCCCTCCTCTGCAGGTGGACCACCTCACTTAAACAGAAAGCCTGATTTCTGCGCCCAGCATGCCACCATTTACTGTGGTTTTTGGGCCCTTTTCTTACTTGATTTTTTTTTACAAGCCCGAGGGACGTAGAGGCGGGAGGTTATGAATAAGAAAAGTTAGTTACTAAGCAGCTAGCGCAAATCCTCCTGGCGTGGGAGGTGACATATGGGTGTCCTGGCTAAGATCCGAGCATCGCTGGGATGAGATGGGATGGGATGGTCGTTGCTTTTAGCGTGTCTGACGTCCTGCCGAGAGTTTCTGAATGGGAACATATATTTTGTTTAATTTCTCTCGTCAAACTATTAGTGTACTTCTAGCTCCAGCCATTCCTGATGCAGGAGATAGATAAGGAGGTGAGTTGTTAGTTAGTTCATTAGCTAGGGAGAGAGGAGCAAAATTTTACAATCATGTTGCCTTCTGAAAGGGTCACATCTGCAAGAGAACTTCTGCCTCAAAAACTGTGGCTTTAAAACTTGGGTTTTTTAGCAGTGATGTTTGCAGAGCACACCTCGTAGTGTTTATAAGGGACTCTCAGTTAACGGCGACTCTGGTCCTACCAACCCCATCATGCTTCTGTAGACCCTGGATAAGATAATGAACACATCTGCTGGGGTAGATCCCACAGAATTTCTTACTTTCACCGTCTCATTTGGCTGTGCCACTATAAGTGATGTGAGGACGACATGAATAATTCACATGATGTCACCATCTGTCTTCTTTTTTTAATGACATAAAAAGAGTAGAAGTGTAATTGTTTTTCTTGAGATTTGTTAGGACTAGACCCAGTCATGTCAGGAAGGGGGCCAGTGTTCAGAATGTCTTGCTGATGGGGAAGCATGAGCAGGCTTCGGTCAGGACTAGTTATTCTTTTGTTTTTAAAACAATTCTGACTGACAAGTATTATCTCTCTAATTACACTGGTAAAGCTGTGCAGCAAGCCTTACACAGTGTGTGTGTGTACACACGTGTGTGCACACGCTTAGTCACTCAGTTGTGTCCGACTCTTGTGACCCCATGGACTGTATGTAGTCCACCAGGCTCCTCTGTCCATGGGATTTCCCAGGCAAGAATATTGGAGGGGGTTGCCATTTCCTTCTCCAGGTGATCTTCCCGGCCCAGAGATCGAACCCACATGTCCTGCATCGCAGGCAGATTCTTTACCATCTGAGCCACCAGGGAAGCGCTCTTACACGGTATATACTTATTTAAATCAGCTGTTTTTTAAACAAAGCTGGTAAACTGATTTGGTGAAAACTAGAAAATCAAGCCTGCCCTTTTGGGGAGATGGATGGAGAAGCTGTTCTGACAGCAAAGCGCCCTCTCTTGCCCTCGGTAAGAGGTGTGTGGTAGAATTGAAGACATACTAACATTTAAAACAGTAGTGGCAAAGAACAGTCAGAATGAGTGATAAAGAAAGGCATTAAACTGTTATCTTTGGGGTCTTATGTCTCAAGTTACCAATGGTCAGGCAACTCAGTCTGTATTTACTGTTTTCTCAGCCATTAGGAAAATCTCTTATGTTTTCTTATACCACCCAAGGGTAACGTAGCCTGGATTGGCTTAGGCATGTTCTTAGATACCTTCTATGAATTAGCTGGCTTGGACTGGAAGGTCAGTTTCCCATGAACCGTGACTCAGAAGTTGAAGTCTTATTCTTGTTTTTATGGATAAATCTTATAAGATTACACCCTGTTCTTTGTTGTGCAGTAATTTGACACAGCTTACCTGTTTCAGTCTAGAAAAAGGACAGTAACAATCATAATATATACAGAGCACCTGAGAGCATATATATTTTCTCAATCACCTCATCACTTCAACTTCCATGTATTCCTTGGATAACAGAATTTTTACTTACAAGCTTTTTTGGCTTTTTTTTTTTTTCAGGGAAATGGCATCGTACACCACTTTGCAAATTAATGGTAGGCAAGTATTTATTTAGCAACTGTTTATGTGGAGTGGTGTGCTAGGAATGAGGATGGTAGCTCAGACTTGGTACTCGTCCTCAGTGAACTTAGAGTCTGACCCGGAAGCTCAGGCAGGCGCAGAAGGAGCTGCAGAAGGTGCAAAAGTGGCAGACAGGACAGAGGGACAGAGTCCGGGAAGGCTTCTTGGAGGAGGAGATGTTGGGACCGGCCTCTGCAGGGTCCATGGGATTTGGAAATGCAGGTGTGTGGGAGATGTTGGGTGAAGGGACCTGTAGGCAGCAGAAATAGCCAATGACATTCTTAATGATCTTGCTAATTGAAATGTCTGATCAAAAGTAATAAGCCAAAACCACCTATGAGATATATATATTTTTAATATTTATCTACATTGACTTAGTGGGCATGAGTTTAAGCAAACTCAGGGAGATGGTGAAGGACACAACCACAACATTTATTTATGTGGATAGCCTGGATCTTAATTGTGGCAACCCCATTCTTTCGTGTGGCATGTGAACGCTTAGTTGCAGCATGCAGGGTCCAGTTCTCTGACCAGGGATAGAACCCAGGCCCCCTGCATTGAGAGTCTTAGCTACTGGACCACCAGGGAAGTCCCCCTATAAAATATTTCGATAGCAAAGAGCTCTTCAGAGGTGACTGTTAGGTGGGATAGCAGATGTATCTTAATAGTAACTGCTAGATAATTGGTTAATTATCCCAAAGAAATCCCTTCATTAGTGAGAAGCTGAGGTTCAGGAGAAACCTAGGAGTTCCATGGAGATAGGTACATTGTGTAGGAAGGAATCTTGATCTTTAAAGTCATGAGATGGAAAAAAAAAAAAGTCATGAGATGGGATCAGAGATATTCTTTACAGCAAGATTTATATCTAAATAAAATATTCAAAACAATCTAGATGTCTGGCTATAGGGGAATGGTTAACTAAGTTTTGATATAGCTATCTAACGCAATATTGTGTGCCCTTTTAGTTTTTCGACTACATTTTTTTGGTTTGCTTTTTAGGTAGAATACAAAAGTGTGTAAGGGCTGATGCCTCTCTGACCCTTGTTTTCCTTCCTCACCTGCTCCCCTGGCCTGTGTTATATAATGTGCGTAGGAACAATGACTAGAAGGATAATGTTACATTTGTATCATTAAGTTAAATACATTTTGAGCCCTTTCTATATGCCAGGCATTATACGAAGGACTGGGAATATAGTGTGTGTGTTAGTTGCTCAATCGTGTCCAACCCTTTGCGACCCGGTGGACTGTAGCCCGCCAGGCTCCTCTGTCCGTGGGATCCTCCAGGCGTGAACACTGGCGTGGGTTGCCATTTCCTTCTCCAGGGGATCTTCCTGACCCGGGGATCGACCCCAGGTCTCCTGCATTGTGGGCAGTCTTTACCATCTGAGCCACCCGGGAAGTCCAGGAATGTAGTGGGGTGCCCAAATAGAATTGTTATTTTTAGGGAGTCTGTGGAGTGCTAATGGGAGAGATGATTGTAAATCAAATAGCCACACAGATAAATGCACGGCTGTTTGGTTATGGAGTGATGTAAAAGCCAGGGGAAAAAGGCTGCAGTGCTGAAAAGCGGGCTGAGGCGGGGCCGAGGGCAGCCTGTGAGGCTTTCCTGAGGCTGTGATCATTTGAGCTGAGATTTATTGGGTGAATAGATGCCAGTTAGATGAAAAGGGGAGGAGAGCATTTCTGACAGGGAGAACAGAATGTGCAAAGGTCCCGTGGCCGGAGAAGGCATGACTGGGAGCCAGCCAGTATGGCTGAGCTGTGGACAGTGAAGATAAGAATAGTGCCAGAAGAAAAGCTGCACTGTTTAGTGTTTCCACGTGATCATGTATTACTTTATAATAAGCAGTTGTTTAAAAGATCATAAGATATATGCTGGTGATTATTGTTTTCATCTCCTGTAGAACTGGTCATTCATAAAAGACATATAGAAAAACAATGTTCATTTGGATTTGGACTCAAAGCCAAACTAATTATTTATTTTTTAATTTATTGAAGTATAGTTGATTTACAATGTGTTAATTTCTGCCGTATAGCAAAGTGATTCAGTTATGTATTATATGTAATATATATATATGTGTTCTTTTTCATAATGGTTTACTGCAGGTTGAATGTAATTCCCTGTGCTGTACAGTAGGGCCTTCTTGTTTATTCATTTTGTATATAATAGTTTGCATCTGCTAAACCCAAACTCCGAGTCCATTCCTCCCCCACCCTGGAACCGCAAGCCTGTTCTGTTTGTTTGTGGGTCAGTTTCCTAGATAGGTTCATTTGTGTCATATATCAGATTCTGCATATAGCAATATTATGTGATACTAGTATTTGTCTTTCTCTGTATCACTTACTTCACTTAGTATGATAATCTCTGGGCCCATCTGTGTTGCTGCAAACAGCATTCTTTCTTAAAGCCGAGTGCTATTCCATTCCATTCCATATGTGCATGCATCCATAGAGTGTATCCACACATCTTCTTTATCCATTCATGGACCTTTAGGTTATTTGCATGTCTTGGCTATTGTGAATAGTGCTGCTGTGAACATAGGGGTGCATGTATCTTTTCGAATTATCAGACTAATATATTATTTATTAGCTAGATGTATAGGGCTCTTGCCCCCCCAGTGGACTCAGAAATATAGGTGTGCAGTGGATAGTTCAGTACTGGAAACAGTCAGAACCACATGCCCTGCTGACAGTTTGTTCTCAGACTCCATTCACTGGGTCTGGGATGACGATGCTACAGTAGTTGAAGATTTCGTTCCTGTAGGTTGGATCTTGGAGCTCATCATAGTTGTTTAACTTATTTGCGTTGGGTCTTAGTTGGGAGGCGCAGGCTCCGTCGTCCCGGGGCGTTTGGGATCTTAGTTCCCCTGCCTCCCCTGCCTTGCAAGGCAGATTCTTTTTTTATTGTTATTATTTATTTATTTTTAACTGAAGGGTAATTGCTTTACAGTATTGTGTTGGCTTCTGCCAAGCATCAGCGTAAATCAGCTAGGGAACCCATGTCCCGCCCCCTCTCCGTTGTTCCAGAGCTGGGGTTTGAGTTCCCTGCGTCAGACGGCAAACTCCCATTGGCTATCTATTTTACATATGACAGGTTCTTCACCCCGGACCGCCAGGGAAGCCCCCCGTCATATTTTTTTTTTAGTTTCCCACAGAAGGGAAGTTTCAAGTGCTAAGATTTCTTTATTTCTGCTTTTAGGTTACAGGAGGCTCTAGTGGCATCGGAAAGTGCATTGCTATCGAGTGCTATAAACAAGGAGCCTTTATAACTCTGGTTGCACGGAATGAGGTAAGTCTTCCAGCTGTGTTCTTAGGTACTGAGTCAGCATGATGTGAGTCCCAGAGGCCGTGCGAGGCTCGCAGTGTTCATGCCTGTCTCTGCTGGGATTTGTGATTCCTGTGCTGTGCTCAGTCGTGTCCGACTCTTTGCAACCCCGTGACTGTACCCCGCCAGGCTCCTCTGCCCGTGGGATTCTCCAGGCAGGAACACTGGAGTGGGTTGCCATGCCCTCCTCCAGGGGATCTTCCCGACCCAGGGATCGAACCCAGGTCTCCCGCATCGCAGGATTCTTTACCATCTGACTGGTTATTTCTTGTGTTCCAGGCAAAAACTTCCTGGTTGAAGTCAGGTTAGCTCCACAGATATTTTATTCAGGGCCAGGAACTCTGAGGCAACACTGCAGAGAGTGCAGACCTGGGAGAGGCAGAGACTTAGGAGCACCCCCGGCTATGGGCAGCCAGGGAGGCCGCCCCTGCCCAGAGCCGCAGATAGCGGCGTTCTAGGGCCGATCTGAGTCCTGGAGGATTCCTGTCGGCGTTTCTCTGTAATTTGCTTCTGACGTCATCTCCATCTCTGGAGAGACCCAGACTGCAGGGGAAATCTCCCTCCTCCCCAGCAGTTCCACAAAACGCGTGCTTTTCCGTGTCGAGTCAGCACAAGATCTGTTTCCCTTTTCTGTTCAGTGTCTGTTTTCCGTGCCCGAGCCCAGGGCGCTGCGCTCCTTTCTCCCCGACAGTCCCACGTCCTGCTCCCCGGGGGGTGGGGAGGGGCAGGGACCACGGCGGGCCTTCTGGGCTTGGTGGGGAGCTTGGGTCATAGTGGGCGCTCGATCGGGACATCTCCGTTGGCTGCAGAAGTGAAGGGAGGGCGACGGACCGAGGGGCAAGTGCAGCCCAGTGTCGTTGACGGAGTCTGATGCACCGGTGAACAGGGAGGGCGGCGGGGTGCTGGCTGCCCGGGGCTGGGGTGGGGGAGGCGCACAGCTGGGCAGTGAAAGTGCCCAGGCGGACGGCAGACCAAGGGGGGTGGCCCCGGGGGAGCCGTGCAGATGGTGACGCAGAATTAGGCTTGGGCAGCCATCGTCTCTTTAAAACATGAAGAAAGGCAGAATTAGCTCCCTTTTGTTTGTACCCGGACTCCTCTAACAGCGCATCTGCTTTGGCATCGAAGCCGCCTTCCTGACTGAGGACCCGGCTGCGATGAAACGGCATCCTTGAGGTTTGTCCGGTGCGGAGGTTTGACAGGAGGCAGGGCAGCCTGGGCTTTCCGTGGCTCCTGGCGCTGCTGGGGGTGAACGAGCCTTCTGGCACCAAGAAGGCCTTTACTCTTTAGTGTGATTTTATACTCCGGCTCTGGCAAAGTCAGGTGGTGTTCCTCTGTATTAATAGAATAATATGGTTTTATTACGGGCACATTCTTGTTTAGAAAACCTGCATGTCTTTTGGAAGGACTCCCCTGTCCTTTTGTTCTTTTCTGCTGTCATGCTGTATTTAAATTCTAGCATTTATAGCAAATTGAGGCACTGTAAACTGATCTGCATCTTCTTGAAAGTGACTAAAACAAGCACAATTGAGATCTTGGGAGAATTACTCAATTACTGGATAGTTTTGCTTGTCCCCAAGAGTATTTTTGGAAGTAGCCAAGCATAGGTTTACCTCGTCCATCTCACAAGTGATTTTTATTTTATTTTATTTTTTGGTGGAGGAGGGACTCTTTAGATGTTCTTGTAGGAAATCATTATGTCATGAAATCACACATACTCTTCAGTTTGGGAAGATGTTTCATATCTCTGTAATGTCAAATGAAAACATTTATTAGAATTGATGGGAGACCCTTAGCAATTAATACTGATGATTGGGACTTTGAGTTTCATTGATTTTTTTTATTATCTTTCTCTGCAGTGGATTTAAACCCTCACGATCCCTTAGTCACAGCCTAACCTGCCTTACAGCGATGTGCTCCGCAGCTCTGCACACGCAGCTGCTGTCTGTGTGCTTTCTGGCATTTAATAAATCCTTGTACAAAAACTGCTTTTCCTCTCCTTTTAAACAAACAAATGGACAAATAGATCACCACCAGAACTAATTGTTCTCTGTTGCTTTCAGGACAAGCTGTTACAGGCAAAGAAAGAAATCGAAAAACACTCTATTAATGATAAACAGGTAAAGTCCCTGTGCTCATGATGCATTTTCTGTCTAATCAGCACGGATATGCAAAGGAAAAGACCGTGACTTCATCCGGGAATAGTTCATCGAAAGCACGTCAACTGTTCCTAGTTATATTGTTTTTAAAATGGTGAAATTGTTTGAATTGTCTTGGATTTCAGGTTATTACCAAAGCAATGCATAGATTCTAACACACATACACAGACACAGGTGAACTAATAACAGAATGCTTTCCTAGAAAATGATTTCAGTTATTTATTCAAATTAACATAAGGGAAAGGAGGTATTAAAAATACTTTTTGATTATGCAATTTTTTGATGAATGCAATGGTATGTTTATGTATACAATATATTTATTTTAGAATAAAAAAACATAATGATAAATTAATAGCCACACGCTCATCACCCAACTTAAGAAATGTCATTTTCCGGGGCCCCTGAAATCTCCTGTTTGCCCACATCAGCCTAATCCTTCTGTCTCATTCGTAGAGGTAACCCCCAACTTGATTTTTATAGATATTTTTTCTTTTGTTTTTTAGTTTTTTGGCTGTGCCACACAGCATGTAGAACTTTAGTTTCCTGACCAGGGATCCACCCGTTGCCCCTGCATTGAAAGTCTTAACCACTGGACCACCAGGGAGTTCCCTTCCGTTTTTCTTTAAATAATTTGACCATAAGTGCATGTAACCCTAAGAAGCGTATTGTTTACTTCTGCTGCTTTTTGAGCTTTATGGCATCATTCTTATTTCGATAGCTTTGTTGAGATAGAATTTCGCATACCGTTCAGCTCACTGATTTAAGGTGTACAGTTCAGTGGGTTGTAGCACACCCACAGAGTTGCAGCTGTCACCAGAATCAGTTGTAGAACACTTTCCTCCTCCCGTGAGGAAGTCCACGTCCTTTAGCAGTCAGCCCTTGTTGTCTTCCACCCCCTCCCGGCCCTAGGCAGTCTCTAACCTATTTTCTCTAAGTTTACACAGCGTCATTCTTTGCGTATTCTTAGGCAACTTGATCTCTTCACCTGATCTTGTTGTTAAAATTCCTCTCAGTTGCTGCATGAAGTCATCGTCCATTTTTTCTGCTGCCGTCTGGAGTTTTCTTGTATGTATAGAGTGTCCTCCATTCATCACCTCTACCGTGGGGGGATATTTGGGTTGTTTCCGTTGTTTTTCCAGTTTGCTTTCTTTCTTGCTATTGCTAAAGTTTATCTCCGTGCCCTTTGTACAAGGATGGAATACACCTGGAAATGGAGCCGTTGAGTTGGGTGTGTGCATCACCAAAACGGCTACACTCCTGCCAGCAGTGAGTCCTTCCAGTGCTCGGTGTTAACAGACCTTCTAATTTTTGCTTTCCTGATGGGTTTTAAATGGTGTTTCACCGTCAGTTTAATTGCCTCATTTTTTTCCCTCCAGAAATACATTAGAGAACTTTGCTGTTGTTGTTGTTAAGTCGCTAAGTCACGTCCGATTCTTTGTGACCCCATAGACTGTGGACTGCCGCACGCCAGGCTTCCCTGTCCTTCACTATCTTCCGGAGTTTGCTCAAACTCATGTCCATTGAGTCGATGATGCTAAGATGCTAAGGTGGTGAAGCAAAGAGAACTTTGCATGTCAGTCAGATAAATCTGCCTCATTTCTTAAAACTTCTGTGGCATAATCCTGGGTGCCCCATAGTTTACTGAATCAGTTCCCTTTTATTGGCTGTTTGCATTTTCTTCCTTTGCATTCCATGCTGCAAGCGGACGGCCTCACCCACCTCTGTGTGTGGGGGTCTTTCTCTAGCACCGGGGCCTCGTCTATACCCCTCCTCTGAGCCCACGGACATTGGAAAGCTGCCAGCTCGGCAGGTCTCCCCAGTTTTGCTGTTTTGTTTCCCTGTCCCTGTGAGCTCTGGTAGAGAAGGGGCATCATCTAGAGCGCGGATCTGGAGCGTCCTGGTGAAGGCCAGTCTCGCTGACGCCGTGTCTGCTCCTTCTCCCGCCTCGTTAGCCCCGCTCTTCACCCGGCAGAAGCCTCGGTCGTGTGGAAAGCCCTTGACTTGCACGTCCAGGAGGGGGAAGGTCCTCAGGGCTAGGGCGTGCAGGAGGGGCTGGGTGGTCTCCCTTCCCCAGCTGGCGTGTTTCTCTGCGTCACATAAGCAGGGCCCTGGCGACATGCTTTTCTTGGTAGTTTGTTAATAGTTTTTTTTTCCCCCCCTGCCAAAAATTGCCCGTGTGTGCTGGCCGAGTTGCTTCAGTCGTGTCCCACTCTGTAGCCCCCCAGGCTCTTCTGTCCGTGGGATTCTCCAGGCAAGAACACTGGAGCGGCTTGCCATGCCCTCCTCCAGGGGATCTTCCAGACCCAGGAATCAAACCCCTGTCTCCTGCATCTTCTGCATTGTCCGCGGAGTCTTTTACGGCTGAACCACTGGAAGAACTGCCCTCCCATCCCCAGTTTGCCTCTCCTAATTGCATTGTCCGCAGGTTTCAAACCCTGCAATCGGAACATCAAACTGGACTCCTTATCTCCTGGAAAAAATTGCCTTTAATTTTTAAAAACAGTTCTTTTAAAGCCCTGCATAGCTTTGATCACTTTTTTCTCTTTCTGACAGGTGGTGCTGTGTATATCAGTTGATGTATCTCAAGACTATAGCCAAGTAGAGAACGTCATAAAACAAGTAAGAGGTTGGGTCAGTTGGACTTAATCCACTCGCCTTTTGATTGGTCCTTGCCAGTTTGGTGTGGGGCTTAGAGTTGGCATATCTTCCCTATAGGTCTAATAGTTTTATAGATTTTATCTATTGGCATTGATTGGCTACTAACAAATTCTTTGTTTTTCTTCCTTAATTCTCAATTTGATAAACTTCCAGGCTCAGGAGAAGTTGGGCCCGGTGGACATGCTTGTAAACTGTGCAGGAATGTCACTTGCAGGAAAATTTGAAGATCTTGAAGTTAGTACTTTTGAAGTAAGTAAAAATTTGTTTTTTTTCTTACTGTGGTAGCCCCATACACTATGAGGGAGAACTAGTTTATGGCTGAAAGCTTTATGAATGAAATAGGTGAAATGCATTCCAGTTTAACAGAAGCTTCAGCAAGCTAGAGGAAGGCTGGACAGGGTTTTAGTCCCAGTGACCACCCAGCCTTAGAAGTTTACACAGGCCTCTGGGCCTTGGCTTCCTCAGCTGTAGAATGGGAATGCAGCCTCCAGCCTGACACAGTGAATCGATAGGAATTGATTTACTGACGCCATACTATCAACAGAGCTCCTTCTAAGCCAAGAGAGATGCTGGGATAGGAACTGATTTACTGAGGCTGTACTATCAGCAGAGCCCCTTGGAAGCCAGGAGAGATGCGGGTTTCTTGTCAAGTACCAGTGTTTTTAACAATGAAAACCTGAAAAAGTTGAAAAGCAGACTCTGGCATTCTCAAGCCAAGAGAAAAAGACAATGTGTCATATTTATGTTTGTGTTTTTAAAAAACGTCAGCCAAAGAAGTGTACAACAGACTTGAAATCCTTCTTAAATGCATAGCATGTTTTTCTTCATTTGATGTTGTGTCAGCTGTCTCTCTCTCTTCCTGATCTATAGAGCCTTCATGGTGGTGATGGGCTTTGAATGACCTTGGTGAAGTTAGGGCGCGCTCCCTTTTATGGAAGAGGAGACTCCCCTAGCGGCAGTTCAGACGTCCTGCTCTGGCAGGCTGGGGGAAGCACTGCGAACTCTGCGATTTCAAGTCAAGCTGTGCAAGTCCAGTGGAGGCAGAAGCAGAGTGATGCCTTGGCTGGGCCTCTGGTGTCGGAAGGCTTCTTTATCAGCTCGGCAGAAAAGATAGCTGTTGGGCCAGGACTTCCCTGGTGGTCCAGTGGTTGTGACTCTGCCTTCCGAGGCAGGAGCTGTGGGTTCGATCCCTGGTCTGCGAACTAACATTCTGCATGCCACTCGGCACAACCAAAGCGGGGGGGGGGGGGGGGTGGATAGAAAGAGATGTCTTGACCTATATGCCGTTATCTCTAGGTTTTGACAGGGAGATTTTGAAGATTATCGCAATGGCTGTGTGAAGAATTAGTTGGAGCAAGTAGTTGTAGTCTAGGCATGAAGTGATGAGGGGAAAGACTTCAGAGGTGGCCGGTGAAAGAGAAGTGTGAGTGTATGTGCCTGTGTGTGGAAGATGGCATGAAGGGAGGTCAGCAGACTCCGTGGGCGACTGTGGATGGCAGAGAGGACAGGCGTGTAAGGGTCTGTGTGGAGGCAGCACAGAAGCTCACAGCTGTGTGGCCGGCGTCGAGAAGCAGAGTCTGTCCGGGCGGAGCGGGAGGGTCCCTGCATCCGTGTCTAATGGAAGTCTGGAGGCAACTGAGTCAAGGATTTGTGGGGGTCATATCTGAGCAGGAGCAGAAGGAACTGAGCACGTAAGGCCAGGTGACTGCGGGCCTGCCCTGGCAGTCCTGGTCAAGACTCCATGCTTCCACTGCGGGGGTCATGGGTTTGAGCCGGCCAGGGGCTAAGATCCTGCCTGCCTTGTGGCGTGGTGTAAAAAAAAAGTTCAGGCAGCTGCAGGTGGGTGTCAGTGACAAGGAGAAAACACGAAACGGGTGAGATGAAGGAAGAAATATGGCACACACATAGAATATGACGTATGCTGCAATATTTAAGTAATGCGTGAATCTAGTCTTTTGAAAAAACACTTTATTCTCAACCCGTCTCCCATTACACTGTCTCCTTCCCTCTGTCTCTCTCACTTTGTTTGAAAAGCAGCCACAGTCCGCTCCTTTTGCAGCCCCCGCCCTGCACCATCCCCACGCCAGCACTTCTGCGTGCGGGCTGTTCGTCACTCTGCCCAGCAGTGGTGTCGTGAGGGCTTCTCTCTCGTTGAGGCACGTGGGCTCAGGCGCTCCACAGCATGTGGGATCTCAGTTCCCTGAGCAGGGATCAAACCCATGTCCCTACATTGCAAGGCGGATTCTTAACCATCGGACCCCCAGGGAAGCCCCAGTAGGAGTTATTTTTGATTGGGACTGCACTGACATTATAGATAACATGTGAGGGAAACTGACATCTTAACAATATTTGGTCTTCTAACCCATATAACATTAATATATGTCTCCATTTGTTTAAGTTTTTAAAAGAATTATCTCAATAGTGTTTCATAATTTTCAGTATGTGGAGCTCACATACTATTTTTCAGTATTTTATATTTTTCGATGTTAGTGTAAATGGTTTTTTAATTTCCATTTCTTGAGTTTTCATTGCTCACGTAGAAAACGGCAGTTGATTTTTGTGTTTTGATTGTGCAGTGCTGCTGAATTCAACTATTAATTCTAGTGTTCACTGGGCTTCCTACAGCCAAGATCATGTCATCTGCAAGTCTGACCTCTTCCATTGCTATCTAGATACGCTTATTTCGTGGGCTGGAACTTCCAGTGCCGTGTTGACTAGCAGTGGCCAAAGTAGAAGTTTTTGTCTTGTTCCTGACTTTAGGGAGAAAGCACTTAGTCTTTTATTCTTAAGTATGATGTTAGCTGTAGTTTTGTTTGTTTATTTTTGGTAGATGCCCTTTATCAAGTTTAGCAGTTTATCATAATTTGCTGAGAGTTTTTATATGAAATGGATATTTAATTTTGTCAGGTGCTTTTTCTGCATCCACTGGGATGATCATAGAGTTCTTTTTTAGTGTGTTAATATGGTGAATTACACTGATTAATTTCCAAATGTTTCCAGCCTTGTGTGCCTGGGATAAACCACCTTTGGTCAGGATGTGTTATCCTTTCTGTGTTCTTGAGGGATATTAGCTGTAGCGTTTTGTAATGTTACTTTTTGATTTTGTATAAGAGTCAAGGTGGCCTCATAGCATCAGTAGAGGAATAGTCCCTACTTATCAGTTTTCTGGAAGAATTTGTGTAGAATTGATTTATTTTTCCTTAAATGCTTGGTAGAAGCCACCAGTGAAGCCTGAGATTTTCTTTGTGGGAAGGTTTTAACTTTAATTTCTTTGATAGATGTAGTGTGTGCCTGCTAAGTCGCTTCAGCCGCATCTGACTCTCTACGACCGCAGGTACTGGGGCCTGCCAGGCTCCTCTGTCCGTGGGATTCTGCAGGCAGGAGTACTGGAGTGGGTTCCCACGTCGCCCGGGGGTGGAAGGTGTCCCCTCCGTCTCCTGCGTTGCGGGCGGGTTCTTTACCTCTAGCGCCACCTGGAGGGCTTCCCGCATAGCTCAGCGCGACACGCAGGAGGCAGGGATTCCACCTGGGAGCCTCTGTTATTTTTTGTTTTATATTGCACATGGTGATAGACCTATTTTTATAAGGCTTTTAATGTAGAAGGATTGTAATGCAGTATCATGGGACTTTCAGGTTGAAAATGTAAAAGTTTTCAAGAGTTCCCAGGATGAGGGCAAAGGAGACCCTTGTTACCTGTGCGGTCCTCCGCCATCATGAGAGCCCACATATACTGGGTAGTTATTGCGGGTGGGGCTGGGGGGGTGTTTACCTTCTGTTTCCCCTTCCAATCCTTGCGGCAGGCCTGTGCAGTCACACCCTGCGAGGAATTAAGTCGAGTATCCGACTTTGCTGTTGATCCTCAAATAGGCGTGAAAGGTGGAGCCCGGCCCTGCAGTCCGCACTCCTAACCCTGCCCTGGCCTCTGTGGTCTCTCACAGTTCCAAGTATTTCCAAGCTGGAAATATTTAGAAGCTCTTTGCTCAGACTGTCTCTCAAGAGGATTACCTGCACCGTGCGGTGTACTTTTTCTAAGGAGAAGGCTGATTTGGCCAGGCTTCGGCAAAGACCTAAGTGCTGTTGTGAGGACGTGAGGTTAGAGTGAAACAGGAGACTGAAATAGGCACTCACAGGCGGACACAGGGGAGGGGGGTGACCTGGGGGTTGAGCCTGACGTGTGCCTGCACCGCCCTGTGTGAACAGGGAGTGGGAGGCTGTAGGCCAGGGAGTGAGCTCGGTGCTCAGTGATGACCCCGGGCGCGGGCTATGCGTTTGCACGGAGCTGATTCCCTCTCTTGTACAGCAGAAACCAGCGACATTGTGAAGCAACTGTATGGCAGCAAAAAGGGAGAGAAAAAAGAAGCGGGCCCCCAGCGGGGAGCCCTGTGCATCACGGTCACTTCCAGGACCCTTTAGTTCCTGTTTGTTCAGCAGCTCCACAGAGCACCCAGTGACCCCGGCTCTGGCTCAGGGCGGGAGCCCGAGGGGCGCGCCGGTGGCTTGGGGCGGGTGCCCGTGGTGCGCGCCCTGCTCGGGCTCCAGGCCTCTTTGTTCCCTGCAGAGGCTGATGAGCGTCAACTACCTGGGCAGCGTGTACCCCAGCCGGGCGGTGATCGCCACCATGAAGGAACGCCGCGTGGGCAGGGTCGTCTTCGTGTCCTCCCAGGCCGGGCAGCTGGGCCTCTTTGGGTACACGGCATACTCTTCGTCCAAGTTTGCCATCAGGGGACTGGCGGAGGCTTTGCAGATGGAGGTAAGAGCGTCTTCACTTTTAGGTGACTCCTTTCAGCCCAGCGGGACATGTTCCCCTTTAGTTTGTAGCTTTCTTCCTCCTGTCATTGTGTGAAACTAGAGCTTTGTAGATCTGTCTTCAGTGTAAGAGAACTGACTCCACCCGTGAATTTGCAGTTATCCTGTTTTTATTGCATAAAAGATGATAGGTGTCAACAGAAGCAGGATGGCTGTGAGGTATTTGGCTTGCTTAATTTAATACATAGTTTGCTTCTGAACTGTGGTGTTGGAGAAGACTCTTGAGAATCTCTTGGACTGCACGAGGATCCAACCAGTCCATCCTAAAGGCAATCAGTCCTGAATATTCATTGGAAGGCCTGATGCTAAAGCTGAAACTCTAATGCTTTGGCTGCCTGATGCAAAGAACTGACTCATTTGAAAAGACCCTGATGCTGGGCAAGATGGAAGGTGGGAGGAGAAGGGGACAACAGAGTATGAGATGGTTGGATGGCGTCACCACCTCAATGGACATGAGTTTGAGTAAACTTCAGGAGTTGGTGATGGACAGGGAGGCCTGGCGTGCTGCAGTCCATGGAGTCACAAAGAGTCAGAAATGACTGAGCGACTGAACCTAACTTAACAGTACTAACATCTCATAGTATTACAGGCAGACGGCAGAGCTCTTGTGTTTCAGACATCTGCAATAAAGTGAGTATCACAGTAAATCGAGTTACATGAATGCTTTGGTTTCCCGGTGCGTATAAAGGCCGTGTTTACGCTATGCTATGCCGTTAAGTGTGCAATAACATTAAAAGAAGCAATGTACATTCCTTAATTAAAAAGTACTATATTGCTCAAAAATGTTAACCATCTTCTGAGCCTTCAGTGAGTCTTAGTAGGAACATCAAAGATCACTGATCTCAGAACACCATAACAAATACAGTCATGATGAAATGTTTGAAATATTGGGAGAATTACCAAAATGTGTCACAGAGTCATGAAGTGAGCAACTGCTGTTGGAAAACTGATGCCAGTAGACTTGCTCAGTGCCAGGTTGCCACAGACATTCATTTGGTAAAAAGTACAGTATCTCTGCATGCGTGCTGAGTCACTTCAGTCATGTTCGACTCTGTGCGACTGCATAGACTGCAGCCCGGCAGGCCCCTCTGTCCATGGGATTCTGCAGGCAAGGACACTGGAGGGGGTTGCCGTGCCCTCCTCCAGGGGGTCTTCCCAACCCAGGGATCGAACCCTTGTCTGTAATGTCTCCTGAATTGGCAGGTAGGTTTTTTACCACTCTCACCACCCGGGAAGCTCGTATCTTCAGTATGTAAAAAATGCAGTGTCTATAAAGTGCAATAAAGTAAAACACAATAAAATAACTATGTCAGACTTCCCTGGTTTTCCAGTGGTTAAGACTCCAAGCTCCCACTGCAGGCAACTCAGGTTCAATCCCTGGTTGGGGAAGTTCCACATGCTGCACAGTGTGGCCAAAAAATAAAAATAAGAAAGATGCACCTTGATTAAAAAAATAATAATAATAAATAAATAAAAATCTTAAAAAACCCAATAAGCTGTGACTATTGACCTAATACTGTGTGAGTATGCATAAGGGTAACCAGATACTTTATTCTTTTTTTTTTAATCATTGTTCTTTAACACTCTTCAAAGATGTTTCTTTAATGAAAACATCCATCCTTTATGCATGCATATTCAGGTGTTCAGTCCTGTCCGACTCTTTGCGACCCTGTGGATTGTAGCCTGCCAGGCTCCGCTGTCCATGGGGATTTCCCAGGCAAGAACACTGGGGTGGGTTGCCATTTCCTCCTCCAGGGAATCTTCCTGACCCAGGGATCAAACTTGCATCTCCTGCATTGGCAGGCAGATTCTCTGCTACCGAGCCAGCTGGCCTGACTAATGAAATGAGCCTGTGTGACTAATAAAAGAGCTACTGTGGAGCTCTCAGTTTTTAGACAAATCATTTAACTTGATCTCATCATCCTTGTTGGTAAAGATGAGAATCAGACTTGGACAAAAATTTGCACTTGACTCTCCTGATACTTATGTTTTAATATCCTAAAGAAATATTGATGAACAGGAGTGCTTTTTATCTTCATAGTTAATAGAACGTGTCATGGAAGGAGGTGGTGGTTAGGATCCACATCGAATAAGCACCTGTCAGATGTATGCAGCCTCCCTCCTCATCTGTGAAGTAGACTTCGGTGCCTCTGTCACCCGGGGAGGCTTAGAGAGCATTGCATGGGTCTTTCCAAAACCATGTACTTTAAGGCGAAATTCTTTCTAATTCTGTATATAGTTGGCCTTGAACATCACGGATTTGAACTGCACAGGTCCGCTTGTAAGTGGCGTTCTTCCAATAAAGGTGATAGAGCTACCTGATCTGACGTTGGTTGAATCCTCAGATGCTGCAGCGTGGGTGTGGAGGGCCCCTCGGAAAGCTAAATGTGGATTTTTAAATGTGATCATGCAGGGAGTCAGTGCCTTTGCTCTCCACATTGTTCAGGGGTCAACTGTATACTGAAATGTAACACTACCTTGTGATGTTAAAAGCACAGAAGAAAATTAATTGTGGCCATTTCTCTTACTGGAGAAGGAAATGGCAACCCACTCCAGTATGCTTGCCTGGGAAATCCCATGGACAGAGGGGCCTGGCGGGCTGCAGTCCTTGGGGTCGCAAGGAGCTGAACACGACTCAGCAACTGAACAAGAGCAGCGACAATCCTCCTACAGGAGGGTGTGGTTTGAGGGTCTCATTTCGTGATTTAGATTAGGAGTGGATACTTTTTTTTTCCCCCTCAAAGCACCAGAATGAATGTTTTAGCCTTTGAGGCTAGATGGTGCCTGTCAGAACTACTCAGATCTCTTATGATAGCAGGAAAGCAGCCTTGTGGGAGGTTTAAATAAATAGGTATGGATGTGTGCCAATATATCTTTATTCATAGAAACAGGTGAAGGGCCAGATTTGGTCCTCAGGCCATAGCTGGCCGACCTCTGATTCAGAAAGCCCCCAGAGAGCCCTGAGTGCTGCTGAACGAAGTGGCGCGCTGCCCAGGGACTGGATGAGCCCCGCGACAGACTGGGCTGTCTCGTCTGGTCAGCGAGAGTCCCCGCCGGCCTCTTCGGGACCAGCACGCTGTGCTCGTCTCATCCCACAGGAGTCAGCCACGAATTTCTTTTTCATCAATGTGCTTGATATGCTTAGTCGATAACAGGTCGCTGTAACGTATGCTTAGCCAGTGGGGCAGGTATGGCTGTGAAATTTCCAACAAGAACACCAGTAATTTCTTTTGTAGCTTTCACTCTGATACATCCCTTTATGAATAACCATCTTCTTTTATAACAGTTTCGTGAAATACATAAGGCAGGTGTCTTGTGCAGCCTTCTAGATAATAAAACTGAGTTTTCCAAAATTCCGCAGGGTTGCTGAAAGGTAAATCGTGACTTTATAACAGAAATAGTAACAAAGTCTGTGCCTTTTGGTTCTGCCTTTCACCTGCCTGTCTGCTCTATAATGTGTCTGTAATTCAGGTCAGGGTTGCCTCAGTCCTTCCCTTTGGTCTCAGAAACGCAGCAGGAGAAGGCACGTTTTGGGATTGAAAGGCCTGTGCACAAAGGACTTCTGTCCCCAAGTCTGCCTCACAGAAGGACTCCAAGAGACACTCAGGGCACATGTCTGATCTGCGTGGCCTGGCGCCCTCTTGGGCAGAAGGAAGATGCCAATAAAGAAGAGGGAGGAGACCGGAGCTGCCATTCTGGATGAGGCCCCGAAGCCTCTTAGTGACACATGTGATTCACAGGCTGCAAGTGGCCGGTCTGGACTTGCCAGTCGGCCTAACTTTGCTCCATATTTGGACTCCATTGAAATGTCCTCACATGAGCAAAAACTAAAATCAACATGTACCATGGAAAATAGAGTTGAGGGGAAGTAAGTTCAGTCATCAAAATCTAGCATGTTCGTAGCAGAACTTCCACCAATACAGTTGTTTCTTCACAAACTTACACTGCTGTGTCCTTGTTGGTCTGCTCAGCCAAGGTGGTTTTGTGTTTTTGTGAATGAAACGTTCTGTACGTCAGACTCTAAGTGCCTGGGATTATTGTCTCTGGTTTAATGAGCTCTTAAATCTTTCTCCACCACACTCTTGCTCCTAAACTAAAGTTGGATCTAGAAATGCTTTATGTGCAATGACTGAATTTGGAAGAATGCTTTGTTGGCATTTTTTTGCTTTCTTTTTTAAACTCAGTCTTTTAGGTATAAAGACATCACTTAAAGATTTTAGAAGTTGTTCTTTTAGGAAAGCAGACGTTTGAGTTGGGAGTGTAGCCGCAGATACAGCAGCAGAGACCAAATAAAGGAAATCTGGGTGTCCCACTTTCTACGCCCCTGCTCCCGAGCACCCCACCCCTCCCTCATCTCTCCTTGCGCAGAAGGAAGCTGAAGCTTGAGCTCTGGAGCTTCGCCGTCAGCAGCCCTAATGCTTTCTCCCGCTCCTAGGTCTCGTCTCTGCTCTTCTTTTTTAATGGTTGCTACTTTGTTCGGCTGTGTCGGGTCTTCGCTGCGGCAGGAGGGTCTCTGGTTGCGACCTGCAGGGTCAGTGGTTGCAGCTCCGCTTCGCTGCCCCGCGGCAGGAGGGATCGCGGTCCCCGAGCAGGGATGGATCCGAGAGCCCTGCGTTGGGAGGCAGGTTCTTCACCCCGGGACCCCCAGGAAGTTCCTCCCTGCTCTCTGCCCTTGTCTTTGCTTTGATGGGATGGGGAACCGCATGCCTTTAGGTGAGATTGTTTGGGTAATAAATTAGGTCTTGAGTAAGTGGGCATCTTTGAGAGTCCAGGTGGAAGGGAGGAAATGATGGTAGGGTGGGACCAGGCAGAGCTGGGGTGGAGGAGAGAGAGGAGTCGGTCAGCAGGGCCAGGGAGACGCAGTCAGTGGCTAAACAGAATCAGTGCAGTCCTGGCTTAAATTCTTCGCAGAAGTGGTCTTGAGGGGTCAGCATTGTCTTAGCAAGAACCAGTGAGGCCACAGTACCATCATTTCCTTTTCTGCGGGGGTCTGGGGTGGCACGTGTCCCCTGCATGTGAACCCTCAGGCTGTGAGCTTTCAGAGAGGCGCACATGCCTTGGCGCGTCTGGTCTGCACGCTGTGAGTGAGGCCGTCCCTGGCCCTCCATCCCCTGCTGGCGATCCTTCAGCTTGCCGTCTCCCACCCCTCCTCCCCGCTCCATCAGAGACGCTCCTCGCTGTTCACGCAGTGCCAGCCCCTGTGTGCCAGGTGTTGCGCTGTACTTCAGTACTTTCCAAGGTGCTGTGCTGTGAGATTAAAGTGTTTTATTTTTTTATGTATCATTTTTGAAAAGTATTATATACCTATCACAGTACAGCGCTACATAGCCGATTGTGTTGCTTGGGTACCTGGGCTAACATCATTGGACTTAGGAACAAATTGCACTTAAGCGAACTCGCTTAGCGTGGAGCTCATCCGTACGTAGGAGACTTACTGTAGTTAATTAAGTCAAGGTGTGGTGTTACTTTGGGGGGCTTCCCTGGGCTCACATGGTAAAGAATCCGCCTGCAGTGCAGGAGATCACCTCCAGCACAGGAGACTGGGGTTCGATCCCTGGGTCTGGAAGATCCCCTGGAGGAGAAAGTGGCTACCGTCTCCAGTGTTCTTGCCTGGAGAATCCCATGGACAGAGGAGCCTGGTGGGCTTCAGTCCATGGGGTTGTAAGAATCAGACACAACTTAGCAATTAAACCACAACCAGAGTTAAGTTTATTTAGATTTTCACAGATTATTTGACCAGGAGTTTCCGGAGCCTGTAAGCTCCATGAGGGCGCAGAAATAACGCAGCGGTGTCTGTTGGGCTGCTGCTGTGTTCGGTTGCTCGGTCGTGTCCAGCTCTTGTGACCCTGTGGTCGCGACGGGCCAGGGTCTCTTGTCCTCCACGGTCTCCTGGAGTTTGCTCACTGACTCACGTCCGTTGAGTCAATGATGCTATCTAACTGTCTCATGTTCACTTGTTGGATAAATAAATACCGTGGGGACTTCCCTGGTGGTCCCGTGGCTGAGTTTCGGAGCTCCCAACATAAGGGAAAGTGTGTGTCTCTCAGTCGGGTCCAACTCTTTGCAAGCCTGTGGACGGTAGCCCGCCAGGCTCCTCTGCCCATGGGATTTTCCAGGCAAGAACGCTAGAGTGAGTCGCCATTCCCTTCTTCAGGGGATCTTCCCGACCCAGTGGTCAAACCCAGGTCTCCTGCATTGCAGGCGGATTCTTAACTGTCTGAGCCCCCATGGAAACCCCGAGATTTGGCACAGCCAGATAAACAAACAGACATTAAAATACATAAATGCAGTGGTTAAGTTCATAGCCACTGGAGGTACCCACCCATAGGCTGAGAGGGTCATTTGGCTCTAGGGTTACACCGAGGATACCAGTACTCAGAAAGGGGTTGGACTGGTTTCTCCCAACCACCCCACACCCCCCAGAAAAAGCCGTTCTGAAAAGCGGTAAGCTTTTCTGGCAGCCCAGCCATAACCTTGAATTGGAGAAACACCGCTCTGACATCCTGCCACGCAGCTTACAGCACCACCATCCTGGCCCATCGTGGGGGGCAGGAGGACCACCCTGCAGCGGCCGCGTCCGAGCCTGCAGCTTCAGGCTGCGGGCAGGCTGTCTGATTCCCGCATACTGACTTTTTTTTTGATGGCAGTCATGTTCTTCTCCAGTCTGTGCACAGCAGAGGGCAAGGCCGTGGGAGACACTTTCTAAAATCGCTATCATAAAAACGAGTGGAAGAGAAATTGCTTGCTCATCAGCCTCCCTGCCTGGCCCGAGTCCAGAGCTGTTATGAACTGGGCCTTGAGGCTGCCCGCCCTGCGACGCTGAGCAAGTGCGCCTCGTGCCTGGGTGTCCGGAGCCCCGCCACTGGGGACCTTGTCCCCTGCTGGTGCCCCTCCCAGCCTGAGCGGCTCGGCTCCCCGCCCCTGCAGCTCCTTCCTCGGCCTCCAGGGCCGTACTTCACGGAGGGAGGCAGGGGGAGAGAGGCCAGGTGTCAGACGGGGCCCCGGAGTGCTCCGAGGTGTCGTGTGACTCACCTGTCAGCCCCCGCGAGATGCGCGGGGGCCCCCCCAGGGCCAGCTGTCCGGGTCCCCTCGGCGTTCCCGTGGGGCTCGGCAGTGAGCCGGCGGCAAGCAGAGTCGGGGCCGAGGTTCTGCAGGTTTGAATCACCCCCTTGGCGGCACTGAGCCACGGGTGTGCAGCAGGGGTCTGTGGGGGCCGCATCCCAGCCGGGGGGCAGCGCGACCTTGGGCGTCGGTGATGTGTTTTGAGTGGAGAGGTTCGGGGGGGACACCCAGCAGAGAGGGAACCAAGCCTGCGATCCTGGTGGAGTTCGGGCAGGGGTGCTGGAAGGGGAGCTGGGAAGGAGTTTCCATGTTTAGATGCGGGTGAGGTTGTCCTGGTCTGACCTGGGGGGACCCCCGTGGAGCACCCTGTTGGCTGAAGAAGTGAGCCCTGAGCCCTCCCTGGTGCTGGGAACTCCTGGACCTGCAGACTCTCCACCTGGGTCTGGGGCAGAGGGCAGGGGTTTGAATGGTCTCAGCCTGTATCGTAGGTGAAACTAGCAGAGTGGTAGTTTGGGAAGCACTGTGGAGAGCAGCTTTGCAGCCGGATGGCCAAGGGACAGACTTGCCCGTGGCCGTGGCCACCGTGCTGAGGGGTCGGGTTGGGGGTCGGGGGACGAGTGGGCTTCCTTTAAGCACTATCTGCTGTCCTCAGACAGCTTCCAGGCCCTGGTCAGTGGGGGCAAAAGAACCCTAGAAGGAGGCGAATGAACCTCTGTAGTTCAGGGCCCACTGTTTTCTGGAATAGAGGCTCGGGTGAGCTCTTTAACTTTATTTCTGAATGATCTTCAGGGCCAAGAGTTTCCTGATTCAGCCAGTGGTAGGGACTTCTCTGGTGTCTCAGCGGGTAAAGAACCCGCCTACAATGCAGAAGACGAAAGAGACACAGGTTTGATCCCTGAGTGGGTAAGATTCCCTGGGGGAGGAAATGGCAACCACTCCAATCTTCTTGCCTGGAGAATCCCATGGACAGAGGAGCCTGGCGGGCTACAGCCCGTGGGGTCACAAGGAGTCAGACACAACTGCGCACGCACACACCGCTCCTCTTACAGAATCACCGTTGGTTTCACCACCTCTGGAGAAGATCAGGGCTGCGTGTAGACGGTCTGCCTGGTAGTCAGTGTGGGTTGATGAGGGAGGATGCAAAATTGTATCATTTTACTAAAGGGCCCGATGTTGTCTCTGAACTGCAGGTGAAGCCTTACAATGTGTATGTCACAGTTGCCTACCCACCAGACACAGACACCCCCGGGTTTGCAAAAGAAAACCAGACCAAGGTCAGTATGGTTCCTGGCCCCATTTCCAGGCTCGAACGTTGGAAACCCCTTTTCCCTGTTTTCTGTCTTTCCACCCTTCAGCTTTCAGGCATTTTCGTCAGAAGATTGAGCTGCTTTCAACTTACGTGCTTGCAAGAGGCCTCAGAACTTTCTGGAACTTTCATCTGAAATCTTGGAGGCTGTAGCCCTGTTTTCTTTGGGGTTTTTTTGGCAGTGCCACACAGCTTGTGGGAATCTTAGTTCCCAAACTAGGGATTGAACCCAGGCCCCTGCAGTGGAAGTGTTGAGTCCTAACCACTGGACCAGGAGGAAAGTCCTGGTGTGACCCTGTTTTCAGAGGCCATTTTTGCTAAGAATCTTCAGGCTTGATTTAACGAATACGGTGTTTTCTTTCTGATGGAGAATACAGCTTGTATTTTTAACTAACAAGTAATAGACCTTGGCTTCCCAGATGACGCTTGTGGTAAGAACTGGCCTACCAATGCAGGAGACTTAAAGAGACGTGGGTTCAGTCCCTGAGTGGGGAAGAATTCCATGGACAGAGGAGCCTGGTGGGCTCCGACATGACTTAGTGACTTAGCGTGACACATAATACTCTTTAATGATAATATTTTCTCCTCTGGACTTAATTTCATTTAAGGACTCCAGTGGTTGCCGATCCATTGTCTTTACCTGGAGGTCTAATGGGTGCCTCAGGCGTAACATTTCACAAACAGCACTTTCAGTTCCCTCTCGCTCCCCCTTGCTATTTTCCATCTCGTTTCTGGTGCCCAGCATTCTCTCAGCGGCTCAGGCTGGAAACCCTGCAGCCAGCCGTGATGCCTCCACACTGGGCTCTGCTCTCAGGACCTAGCCCCAGTCGGACTTCTTTAAACTGCACGTGTCACTACTATCAGTGTGAGTCACCGATATTTTCTCCCAAACTGCTCTAATGGCCTTCAACTTGGTCTACCTGCTCCTAGTTCTTACCCCCTAGAGTCTTTTTCATAGTATAGCTAGTGATCCTTTTAAAGGACAAGTCAGCTCTTGTCACTCCCCTGTTCATACCCCTCTTGTGAGTAAAAAGCCAAAAAACAAAACTTAACAAAAACAAAACCACAAAAGACCAAAAACCCTTGTGCAGCATGGTCTGATAGAATGTTCTAGAATGGTGGGAATGATCCATGTCTGCAGCTCTGTAATGCAGTCACATTGTGGCTGTTAAACGCTTGCCGTGCCACTAGTGGGACCGAGACGCGGAATGTCTAATTTTATTTCATTTGAAGCTAGAATTAAATTCCACATGGTGGTGGTAATAGCATTCTGCAGCGTGCGGCTCCCCGGGCTCCCAGCTTGCTGGGAGTAGAAGCCAGGGGCCTCGAGCCGTTTAGGTCCCCATCTAGACCCCGGCCACTCGTTTTCTCGGCCTCAGCCGCCCGGAGCTGCGTCCGCCCCCTGAGCCTGCTGGCCAATCCTGCGCGTGGGCTGCGCTCTCGCCTCCCTCTCTCTGGGTGTTCGAGTGGACCTTCCCCCTGTGTTTCTTTTCGCCTCTGTGCAGCCGTCACCCTGGAAAGGACTCCCCTGACTTCTGCGTCTCAGCGTCCCCCCACGGGATGCTTACCATCCTCCGCCGGCCCTTATCCTCCACGGCGTTTTCTCGCCTCTGGACTTCAATACAATGCCTGTCAGTCATCCCGAGCCCAAAGCAGGCTCTGTGCTTTGTTCACGGGACCCTGCCTTGACACAGAATAGGCACTCTGAGCAAAGTGGGGAAGAAAGGAATCAGTCAGAACTCCCCCCTTTGAACTTGGTGTTGATTGGTTTTCTTCTCTTTTGTAGTGATTCTCACTAAGTGTGAATCTGCACCACATAAAAACCAGCCCTGAAGCTCCATGGGCTGTAATTTTCAGAAAGATGTCTATGGTTTAGAAGCTTTTCCCCCTATTCATTTCTTTTTGACTCTGCTTCTTAAAATGACTACTATTTCAAAGAAATAAATTTAACCTGAATGCCCTGTTTTAGAATAAGGGAAATCTGCTCAGCAGATTTGCAGCATTTGATAAGTGGTCTTTTAGGTAGAAGCCAGAGCTGACAACAGGTGGTGATTTCTCCGGGAAGATCTGCCTCCGATGTTAAACGGTTTTTGTTTTTCCTGCGCTAGAACGTGGGGAGGACTTCTGTGGGTAGATGCCGTTCAGCCTTGCTCCGTGAGTCCTGTAGAGGCGCACCGTGCTTGGACGCCTGCCGGCGGGTCTGGCCGCAGCTAGTCCCGCCCCGGGGACCTGGGGGAGTGGTTAATTCAGGTTCACCAAGAAACACTTGACTTCTATGAGCTCTACGCTTTTCTATCTTAAGGAAATAAGTTCTGGTTTTTATTTTATTTTTTCAAGCCCACATGGTAAATAAAATTTATCGTTTCATACCATTTAAGGCTTAAGTTTTGAAACTTCTAACTGAAACTCCCTTCTAAAGAATTTTTGAGCACATGGGTTGCATGTTGCTCCAAAGATTTACAAATAAAAAGACAAGGCAGGGTCTTTTTTTTTTTTTCTTCCATATTTTAAATGAAGCTCTGACGTTTCTCACTGAAATCAGGACTCGCATCCACAGAGAGTAACTGGGGAGCTCAGGGGCTAAATTTTACACAGTAACCAGGTAGAAACTGATCTGGAATCCAGATGGACTTAGTTCTAAAGTTAGGAATCTGTTCTAAGATAGAAAACTAGAATTATGTATAAATTAGGGGAGGAGGACTGTCAAAATTATTTACTTTTTAATGCAGTGGGTATTGATAATGTCTATTTTTTTTCACCTTTTTAGCCTTTAGAGACACGTCTTATTTCAGAGACCACATCGGTCTGCAAACCAGAACAAGTGGCCAAACAAATTGTTAAAGACGCCATAGTAAGTAAAACCCTTGTTCCTTTGTTAATTGTTACAGTACTGTATTTCCAAAAAGGTATTTGTCTCAGGGTTTATTTCAAAGTGTAAAATTACTAGCATTTTGTGTGTGTGTACACTTAAATTCATCATATCTGATATCATAGACTGTTCTTTTCTTCCCTGGTTAATTCTATGTTAGTTAATGAGTTCTGGAAACTAGTTATATATCTTTTTTTTAATTTAACCTTTTGGTCGCGCTGGGTCTCTGCTGGTGCGTGTGGGCTTTCTCTGGCTCTGGCGAGCGGGGGCTCCTCTTCGTGTGGGCTTTCTCTGGCTGTGGCGAGCGGAGGCTCCTCTTCCTCGCGCTGCAGAGGCTTCTCCCCACGGAGGCTTCTCTGCTGAGGAGCGTGGATGCTCCAGGCACCCCGGCTCCTGTCGCTGTGGCTCCCGGCTCTGGAATCTGGGCTCAGCAGTTGTTGGCACACAGACTTAGTTCCTCTGCGGCATGTGGGATCTTCCCGGACCAGGGATCGAACCCGTGTCCCCTGCACTGGCAGGCGGATTCTTACGCACTGGACCACCAGGGAAGTCCCATAGCTGTATTTCTTAATCTTAGGAGCAGGTTAATCAGTCTGAGAACCTTAGTTCTTTGAAAGGAAAACGAGATTTACCTGTGATATGTAAACGGTTTGCACTATAGACTGTGTTTGGCATGTTGTCATCTTCCTTCTCTGCCACAGTATTTTCAATTCTAGATTATTTTAGGTGTCTTGCTGCCACACTGGTTTAAGGATTTTCGTTTCCCTTTCCTGCTTCCCAGTATCGTTTTCCCAAATGTTTACTAACGAGAAAGTGCTGCTGGCCCCCTCAGCCATTGTCCTGTCAGCTTGGCTGGTGCCCTTTCACGTTCTAGAGTTTATTCAGAGTCCAAATGGTCTTTCTCGAAACCAGGTGCTGTTCTGTAGGACGATGTATGGGCCACAAGCTTTTTGGCAGCATTCCTGTTAACCCACATGCAGAAAAATATACATGCCCAGGGGACATGTAAACATGCATGTCATCCTTAGGCCCATGTTGGATTTAGGAAACTTGGGGACAATTGGAACGAGAGGTGTTGGCTGGCTGGACCTTGGCCTTGAAGGAACGTCCGTTGCTTGTTTAGGCCAAACCCAGCAGACTACAGGAAGCCTTGAAGGCTATTAAAACATATGCGGATGTGGGAAGGACTTTACCCTGATTGTGTTCAAAGGCGTAGGAAGATGGCACCAGTGGATTGGGCGGACTTTGTTTTTCCTGCTTATCTGAAGTCAAAGCAAACACACTCCATGTTTTTAATGATTCGAAGCAGCTCTTTGTATTTTGGCAGGATTCCTTTAATCTGGAGGTTCTCACGCTTTTTTCGTCTCTTGAGCACTTTCCACCCTAAACTTGTCCACGACCCCAGAGAACTTTTGGTTCCATGGCTTATCCTTATCAATATTTGCTACATCAGAAAGTGAAACTGTGTCATTTTAAAAGGATTTATTTATTCATTTAAAATGACAATACCAGAGGGATGGGATGGGGAGGGAGGTGGGAGGGGGGTTCAGGACAGGGAATACATGTAAATCCATGGCTGATTCATGTCAATGTATGGCAAAAACCACTACAATATTGTAAAGTAATTAGCTTTCAACTAATAAAAATAATTGGGGAAAAATAAAATGACAATGATAAATTCAGTGTATTTTACTGTAACATTTTTATAACAAAAAGTTATTTTTCAAATCAAAACTTCGGGGGCAGGGTGGCATTGTCTTCCATCCCACCAGCCTCTCTGATGTCTGTGTTGGAGGAGAGCGGCTGCCCCCGCACTCCGTCTGTCGTGCCCTTCTGCATGCAGGGTGCAAAGTGAGGCCGGCACAGCAGACGGTGGCTGGAAAAGGAAGGGAGGCTCTACGCTTTTCAGATGATTGTGGACATTCCTTTTTTTTTTTTTTTTTAAATAAAAGCTAAACTAGATGAATAGTAGTTTCTTAAAGGTCAGTTGCAATATGAAATTGGAAATTCAAGCAATGAGCCTCTTGTTCTCTGCTTCATGACAGCGCATCAGTATGCCTTGCGCTGCTTTGTGCTCCTTCATGATTTTGTAACATTATGTATTCGTCCTTGGGAAAATGTGGATTCCCTGAGTTACCCAAAAACATTGCATGCATTCATATCACTGCTGATTCTATGATAGAAGTCTTTCTGTGACTGAGAAACTGACAGCCTCAAAGTGGCAGACACACGTCTTCCCCAGTTCTGGCTCAGATTTGCACACGGGCTCCCGAAGCTGCCAGTTTTCCTTGAAGCGACAGTCGTTTCATTCATTTTCTGCTAGGAACCTTCCAAGTCCCCCGTCTGAATGACCGCAGATTGTCAGTCGTGGTTCTTGCTGTAGAAACGGCCTGCGGGCGCAGCGGGGCCCTTCCTCCCCTGCACGGTGGGAGCAGGGCCCCGCCGGGAGGCGTGCGTCCCCTTCCGCTGGCGAGGGCGGCCCGTGCGCTTCCTCGTCCTGCAGGATAGTGCGAAGGCGTGTCCCCGAGTGGCCGCAGCTTCCCGTGCGGTCCCGGCGGCGCTGCGTCGTTGGTTTTACACATAGTGGGGTGCTTAGGTCAGTCGTGGCGTCCCAGCTGGTCCCACCCTCCTTTCTCCTGTGGTCGTCTATACGTCTGTGTCTCTATTTCTGCTCTGCAAGTAAGTTCATCTGCACCATTTTTCTAGATTCCACATGTATGCGTTAATGTGCGATACTTGTTTTTCTGACTTAGTTTTCTGTGGGGACCTAAAAGGGGGGGAGACCCAGTGGAGAGGGTATGCGCACACTTGTGACTGAGGCACATGTCTGTACAGAAGTAAACGCACCAGTGTGAAGCGTTTACAATTATACTCCAATTAAAAAAAAATTTCAGGAAAGAAAACGTCCTCCAGGGTTGAGACTGAACAAAACAATTCATTTTACTGCTTAACAAGTGCAGTTTTAAGCAAAACTGACCTTTAACATTTTTTTTGAGATTTGAACAACTTGTTTTCTTCCCGTGTTTCCTGATCATTGTAAGCGTTTGGGACAGTGGGAGGCGCCACCACCGTGGCCCGTGCTAACCAGACAGCAGCATTTCCATCTGTGCACGTGTCACGGGGTGAGAAAAGGCGATTCCCGTCTCAGCGTTGGCATGGCTGTGGTTTTCTCTTCGGGGAGAGTCTCCCGACACGCAGGGTCCGTGGCCCACGCGTTGAGACGTGTCCGTCCAGCCGCCCCAGCCTGTCTGCCAGGGCTGTGTTCACCCCTGGGCTCACGCGTGTGCCTGTGACCGCTCCTCCCCCGACATGAATGGACACACGTCCTCGCTTCTGACGGGCTGAGCTGACTCCTTTCCATGATGCCACCACTGCCTCTTTCCTTTCTTCCTGTTTCAGCAAGGGAATTTCAGCAGTTCCATCGGCTCTGACGGGTACATGCTCTCGTCGCTGACCTGCGGAATGGCTCCGGTGACATCCATCACGGAAGGGCTCCAGCAGGTGAGCCGTGCCGGGGCCTCAAGACAGACGTCCGTCTGTCCAGACAGACAGACAGCTGGGCCTCTCACTGAACCTCAGTGGGCAAAGGCTGAAGGAAGACAGCCTTCACATCTGAGGATGTGAAGAGCTGTTACTGAAGTATCAGCTTTTTTCTTCCTCTACCAGGGAGAAGTAAATAGGAAATATTTTTAAGTTGTTTAGTCACCAAGTCACAGCCCACCAAGTCCCTTTGTCCGTGGGCTTCTCCAAGAACACTGGAGTGGGTCACCATGCGCTCCCCTCGGGGATCTTCCTGACCCACAGATGGAACCCAAGTGTCCTGAGTTGGCAGCAGATCCTTTACCATCTGAGCCGCCAGGAAGCCAGGTTAAAGATGTAACGTGAGGACTCTACACTGGGAAGAAGTCTCCCCCGTGGCGCTGCAGGTGCAGAGAGAAGGCACCTGCTCTGCTCTTAGGGTGTTAGTCTGGTTTTCCTCTGAGGACGCTTCATCTTCTGGGTTTGAAAAATGGAAGTCTCTGTCTTTAGGGGGTGTGTGCGTGATAAGTTGCTTCAGTCATATGCGACTCTGCAACCCTATGGACCGTAGCCAGCCAGGCTCCCCTGGGATTGTCCATGGGATTCTCCAGGCAATAATACTGAAGTGGGTTGCCATTTCCTTCTCCAGGGGATCTTCCCCACCCAGGGTTCGAACCTGAGTCTCTTAAGTCTCCTGTACTGGGAGGCAGGTTCTTTACCACTAGCACCACTTGGGAAGCCTGAGAAATCTCTAGGGGTTAGAGGTGGTATTGCCTGAAAGTCCCAGGATATTAGACCAGAAACTTCCCAGTGAGTCAGACCCCAGAAGCTCAGGGAGGTAAGTGAAGGGTGCGATGCAGTCCCTGCCCTCACGGAAATTACAGTTCATCCAGAAGAGACATAAGAATTAACTGCTCATTGATGAGCCTGCTGCCGGGTCTGCTGTTGGCACATCAGCGGCAAGGCAGCAGCCTCTGGACACCAGGCGGCTTGCGGTCTGGTGGGAGAGACTGAGGAGACCACTGAGAGAGAGCCGGGCAGCAAGGTGAGGGTTTTCACAGAGGGATCGCTCTGGAAGGACTGAGCGCGGGTGACGGAGGGGTGATGGGGGCGGTGTATGACAGAAGGCTGTGTGGTCAGCCTCGTCCACCCCGGAAAGTCCCGACGAATCGGGTCGGGAGAGGCTTGTCTTCTCCCTCTGCTTCTCTCAGATCCTCGGAACCCCCGGGGGGCCCAGGGGTTGAGTCCACGCCGTCGCCGCAGAGCGTGCAGATGCAAGCCCCGCTCAGGGCACTGAGGCCCCGCGCGCCTCGTCGTTGGGCCAATAACAACAGAGGAGAGCAGTCGCTAAATGTCTTGTAGGTGCTTATAGAGAATGTGAGCAGAAGCCCGTGAGTTCCCACAGGCCTGCTCTCCACTCCCCCCCAGTGTTTGCTGTTGGCAGCGTCTTGCGTGTTGGTGTGGCTCTCTGTTACAACTGATGAGCTAGTATTGAAACGTTCTTACCGCCCGATGTCACAGTTTGCCCTGGGATTTATTCATGGCGTCATCCATCTGTCATTTATCCATCCTGTGGGTTCTGATGATTACAGAGTGACCCATATCCAGCATTAAAGTGTCCGACAGATAATCCACCGCCCTGAATATCGCCCTGTGCATGCTGAGTCACTTCAGTCATGATTGACTGTTTGTGGCCCCGTGGACTGTGGCCCGGCAGGCTCCTCTGCCACGGGATCGTCCTGGCGAGACTGGAGGGGGTTGCCATGCTGTCCTCTGGGGCCTCCTGACCCAGGGACTGAACCCGCGTCTCTCACATCTCCTGCCTTGGTAGGTGGGCTCTTTACCGCCAGGACCGCCTGGAAGCTCTGAATATTCCCCTGGGTCCACCTGCTTCTGGAATCCTGGCAACCACTGATGTTTTCACTGTCTCCAGAGTTTGCCTTTTCCAGCTTCCCTTTGGTTTTTACTATTTTCAAAATTATCCTTCTGCCTACTTGACAGAATCAGGTCGTTTTTGAGACTTGATATGGAAAACAGCAGACCCTCATCCCGTATACCCATTCACTCTTCTCAGAAGCAGTCGGGCTGCCCTTTCAGCCGGACCTTCTGACCTTGACCTTCTTATCTCTGGAGCGGACACTCCATGGAGGCGTCCAGCTGATTTCTTGGTTCTGGATCAGGTTGATATCCTGCTGAAGGGTGCACATGGAGCTCTTCTTTCTGACCCTGCTCTCCTTGCTCACACCCCCCCCCCCCCCCACGTTTACCCTCCCTTTTTAGTGATACCGTGATTTTGGTTAGATCTGTACTGAGATAACCATCATTAGGGCTATTTCAACACTATTCACAGCTGAACTATGTAATACACACAACCCATTCTCCTTTCTTGTATAGTCTTTTTTATCTTTCCCTGAAACAAAGGGTTAGCTGGCCTTTTACTAGGTATTATTCATAATGATTGTGTTCATCTCCTCTTAGAAATATCAGATACTCTGTCAGTTTCACCTTCTGGAAGGAATTCCTCACGGAGCCTTCTGACCTGCTGTCAGGACTGGCTGCGTCCCCGAGTCTGGCACTTAGATGACCCTGGCCCCGCTTCGCGGTCACCCCGGGGACCCTCCGCCTCTTGTCAGCATCGGGTCCCCTGCTTCCTTGTATCACAGGATGTTGCCTTTCTCTGTCGAGGCCCTTCTCTTTGGCTGCTTCCCTCTTCTGGTAGCTTCCTGATAAAGGGGTGCCGCTTGGGAGGCGGTTTTTTTGTGGTTTTCTGCATGGTTTGTGGGATTTTTGTTCCAGACCAGGGATGGAACCCAGGCCCTCAGCAGTGAAAGCCTGGGTCCTAACCACTGGATGACCTGGGAATTCCTGGGAGGCAAATTTTTTGATGCTTTGTATCTTTGAAAATGTTTCTATTTATAGTTTCCTGCCTTTTAAAAGTTGCATTTATAAGTGTTACAGTGAGAGTCCCTTAGTGGAAAGGGCGAAAATTAATGGGTATGGTTAATTGCCTTCTTAATCTGAGACAGTAATTGCTCTTTTTTGAGTTGGTTGTCTGCCCAGGTCTGGAGTGAGCTGGTGACGGCTGGCACTGGTCATTCTCAGCGCCTGGCATAGGGTCTGCCTTTTACGATCAGTACATAAACCTTAAACCAAGAAGCCTTGATTGTAGTTTGGATATTTGAGATGCTTCTTTGGATCTTCCCTAGCTCGGAGAATCCTAAGAATCTCTCTTTTGGTCTTTGTGTAATTTGCATGTATTTTTAATAACTGGACAACTATTTTGTCATTACCTGTGGTCTGACAGGCCCGGTGCTGTCCAGTGGCTCAGAGCAGACAGCTTTTGTTCTCTGTGTTCTGCTGGTGCTTACAAAGTTTTCATCATACATCCTTATCCTTGGAGCAGATCGGAAGATACGTCTTGGGGACTATGTATCAGAGACGTACCCGAAAATCCCGTGAAACAGATGCACGTGCTGTCCTGTCGTGTGAGCTCACGGGTCTGTCTGTCTCGCAGGTCGTCACCATGGGCCTCTTCCGCACGATCGCGTTGTTTTACCTTGGAAGTTTCGACAGTATTGTTCGTCGCTGCATGATGCAGAAGGCGAAATCGGAAACTATAGACAAAACTGCCTAATTCTTACCCCTTGGAAAAAGACTGTCTGAATAATTTACCAGCTTGCTGCTAAGTGGGACACAGTTTTGGGCTTGCAGACACTTACGTCTTGCTTTCTAATCTGTGAGATTGGACCAGTGATCTTCAGAAACCTGGCTGCAAGCAAGGGGATCGCCGTTCAGCTCCAGACTATTATTAATACTATGCAAATACGGAGGAGACCACTTGATTCTCCCAGGTGGAGAGGTGATGGTAAGGGAACTCATAGCATGTCAGCAGGATTCCGGAATGATCATTGAAATGTTTCTTCTATTCTATTTTTTCCCGTTAGAAATCATGTCCAGAAATGGGTTTCTGGGACCTTTTCTTTTTTTCTTGTTCTCTTTTTTAACTTGGTGTGTTTTATTCCAGATGCATTTTACACATTACCTTGGGGTCTGAATACATAATAATGTCCCTGACTCATTCTGATGCTGGTGGTCCCTTGTGGTTTCTTTCTCTTTGATCCCATAAAACTACACGGGGGATGGGAGAGGACCATACAGAGGAACGGAGGAGATAAATATTTTCCAGTAGGAAAAAATAATGATTTTTTTTGTCTTCTTTAGACTTGAATGCTTAGGGCACTTCTCATCTTTCATTCATGGAGAAAGGCAGCCTCCTGAAATATTTTCTGAAGAGAAGTAAAACCTTAGCAGCTTAAAAGTTTACAGTTTCTTCAGTAGCCATAATGACCCGAAGCTCACCCATTCCATTGTAGTTTCTTATTCTTCCCATGTCTTCCTTTCCAATTTTGCTTAGACTGCTATAATATTTTTATAAAAAAAGGAAAGAGAGACACCAGTTTCTTCCTTGACTTTTTAAATTAATTAATGAATTTATTAAAACAAATGAAAAAGTTAGGAAGTGTGACCTTTGTCTCCTTGTAGCATATATGTAGCTTTTAAGAAAGACCGAAGGGGGAGTTTGCTGCTCCAGCGGTTAAGACTCTGCCCTTCTAATGCAGGGGCACAGGTTTGACCCCTAGTGGGGAGCTAGGACCCCACATACCATGTGGCACAGCAAAAAAAACAAAAAAAAAAAACACGCTGACAGCATATTTCAGTTTGGGGTTTTCCCTGAGACGGCCGTGTGGGTCTCCCCCTTCGTTGTGTTCATGTGGTGCCTTACACCGATCCATGTTTGTGTTGAACCTTACTTGCACTGCAGAGGTAGATTCCATCTGGCCAAGGTGTATAGTCATTTTAATATGCAGCTGAAGCAATACTTTCGCAGCCCACCTCCTTATAAAATAAGACAGAAACTGTGCCCCCCTCCCGCTTTCTGCCGGTGTTGGAGGGGCTCCTGCGGCGGTGTGGGCGTTGGCAGCAGCCTCAGTTTTACTCGTTAAGGAAGAAACTGTAGGACCACAAGGGCTGCCAGCATCAAAGATGCTTGTTCCCGAAATAAAACGATCGCCCTGTTCTTTCCGTGACTTCCCCTCTGACCTTGAGAACATCTCCATACCGCGTGTTAAGAAAGCCCAGCCATCGCTGGCACAGCGGAGGCCTGGACACGCTGTTCCTCTCCGGACACCGGGCCACCGTCCACAGGCAGAGTTCTGCAGCGAGAGCCCAGGGAGTCTCAGCCCGCGAGCTGCTCATCAGCGGATGCGCTCTTCGACCTGAGACTCTAGGGCGGCACCGTCCTTGTACCGGCCCCACCCTGTCGCACACACTGTGAGTTTATGCATCTCCACATTCCAGTTCCTTTTAGTGAGAAAAGACCACTGCTTTGGAAGAAGGAATTTTTTTTTACTCTTGTTCAAAAACAGCAGCTATACAAGAGATTAAAGACCTGAACACTATGACAAAGCTTTTCTGCTCTTGAGTTTTTGAACTCTTGACTTTCAAATGACTTAATTTTTACAAAGTAAGATGTTTAACGGCTTTTATCCAGTGTCTTTTTAAAAGACACAAGAACGGCACGTGTTCAAACACTGACAGAGACAGAAGAAATGATTATTTAATATATAAGTTGCTTGGGATGACTTCATTGCAGTCTGTGGGGGTTGATTGAACCCATAAAGTTTTCATGAATCTTTCAGCCTTCAGGAGCCATCATTTGCAAATTCTGTTGAGTCATATTGGGCGCTTCTAAAAGGGAGTAATGACTATATTTTCCTCATTCACAGAAAACAGATACAAAGTAAAAGCTGGGTGTTTCTCAATTTTATTCTTTTCTCGTAAGTGTTTCTTGAATGTGGGTATCTTCTACTGATGGTCTATATTAAAGCCTAGTCCAAGATGGTGCATTCTTTAATTAAACTATTTCAGTAGTTATTTCAGTATCCATTTCTCAAGGTATCCTCAGAGAGAGTTCAGTCATTCCAGGTCACCTACTACGCGAACAGATCTAAGAGCCCCCGATCCACGACGGGGAGATATCCCCACCCAGGATGAAACTCAAGTGTGAGAGCAGATTCTGCAGCTGAAGCGACGCTTTCACAGAAGTCATAGCAGCGGGGAACTACAGCGTGAGATTCCTGGAAACACGGCACCTCTTTGTCGGAGGCGGCGAAGGTCTACAGCTTTGTGAACAGAAAGGTTTGAAAACGGAGGTGTTCCTTTCCTTCTTTCTACACTTGGTGCCATAATCTACTTGACGGCAAAACCCGACTTGAGATTCCTGTAGTTTTTATTTATGTCATGCCATGGGCTGTTCACTCGTCTGAAGAAATACCAACGGTTTTGATGACAGGGATTGCCCCAGACTCTGTGGAGATGTTTTTATAATATCCAGTGTAGACCCCATATTACCTTTTCAAAGTGTAAAAAAAAAAAAAGAAATTTTCTTTGGATGGGGGATTGTAGACACTTCAGGAGCATCACACAGTGACCTGGCTTCATCTAAATCATGAAACTATTACAAGGCAAATTCTATTTTTTATCTTTTTTTGGCTCAATTCTTGTTAAACCTTTTATTATACTGATTTCTTTTTTGCTCGGAAAGAAGAGAAAGACTGAGTCAGACTGCAGATTGTTAGGGAAACTATTGGCTTTTTTTTTAAGGATCACATTGATTCAGCACTTTCTATTGTGCCCAGAAGTGGACAAGTCTTACTTGTGGCAGAAGAAGTTTAATCATAATTCTGTTGAAAGGTGGGTTCTGTGTATGTGACCAACAATAGCTTATTATGTGAGTTTCAGGTCTGATGTGCCTGCCTCTGCTAGGTTGGGTTGTACTATTTTATTATAATGTATTTGTGAGTATATTTATTTTAATGTTTAATATTATTCAGCCATTGAAATTGCAAAGTATGTTCAAGGACCCTTTATCATTGAAAAATGTATAAAAATTCTCATTTATTTTTGCTAAAACAAAGTCAAGAGAGTTGATCTTTTCTGTATATTTAAAAATTTAACTCTCACATTTGAAAAGAGAAGAAATTAAAAATGCTGTTATTGATGGCCCCTTTAGATGAAATTATATTTGTTTCATTATGGGCCTCTGTTTGGATCATTTTTTGTTGATTCTTGGAAGTAAAAATTTGAGAGTCCGTTTCTAATATTAAATGACAAAACCTTTTTGATAATAGTTGCTTTGATTCAAAGAATTGTATGTCTTTGTCTTTTCAGAAGAAGGTAGTCCCATAATAATTTTTTAAAAATGAATTGTATCAACAGATTTAATTTTATTATATCATATTCCAATTCAAACATGTCTTAACTCCCTTGAGGACACTTAAGCTATTCATACTTTTTGACCTAAAATGTTTGTATCTTTCTCATTTCCTTAACTTCTTAGTGACTCAGTGTTGAAGATTACCTACTAACCATAACCTTCCATATTCTGGACTAAATCTTGTTTAGTTCAGGGCAGTGATGGCAGATTTGGTATTTTGAAGAGGAGAGACTAGCTATTATATTTTACACTTGCTTGAGGTGACAACTCTAAAGGCATTTTTAAACTGATAAGAGTGCATATGACTATTTTGATATATAATAGAACCTGTGTTTGCTACTTTAGAAGCTTATGTGGCAGAATTGTAACCTAATTTTCATATCTTGTATTTCTGAATCATGACAAAAAATAAATGGGGAACATGCTTTACAGATTTGAAAATTTATTTCTTAGAAATGTGCATTTTTAAAGACACATTTAAGCAAAACACCAGTCCCTTCCATGATATTATCCTAACCTTGCATCTTAAACACTTGACAAGGCTTAATTTTTATCGTTTTTTAGGAAGTATTATTTTCACAGTAGATGTTTCGGCCCTTGTTTCAAATATGTTCTGGATTTGTGTGACTCCAGTGTGGGGTATATGAGTAAAAAGAAGAAATATGGAATTTAAGAAAATTTCTTAGGTAATTATGTTTCATACACAGATTGATTTTCTATGCTTTAAGGCTTCATATTCCAACAAGGAAATATCTTCTAGACTCTGAAGGGCATAGAAGAGAGAGATGGGAAAGAACACGCCTTAATAGTTCTTGGTCCTTAAATAGAAAAATTGTGGTCACATTGAGAAGAGATGCCTTGGATGGCTTGATTGGCAAATTGAACCCTTCTTTCAGTTTGAGCAACTTGTATACGTAAATGGCATAGGATATCACCTCTGTGATTTTTATGTTTGGATGTTTAAAAAGGAAATTATTTCTTGACTTCTGTCACACTCTTGATTTTATACACCCCATTTTCTCTCATTCGGCCTGTATTTATCGAATGCCTATGAGGAGCTTGGTATCCAGGCACTGATGTAAACAGTACTGGGTGTAAACAGTCTGTCCCCTCCCCGTGAGGATTCCGTTTCTGGTGCGTTCCCCTGCTTGCTTCTTCATCCCTCTGAAGGCTCTGATCAGTCTTCCTGGAGAAAGAGGAACTGATCCTCATTCCTTTCTTCAGGCTTCTGAACGTTATGCCACCATCATTTGAATGCCAAGCTCTATTCTAGGCTGGGAATGTACAAAGGAAAATATGGGCCCTGCCCTCAAATAGTTTATAATCTGGGGGAGGGGGAACGCATGTCAGGAATTACATGGTGGGATTTCCCTGGCGCTCCCGTGGTTAAGACTCCACGCTTCTGATGTAAGGGGTGCAGGTTCAATCCTGATTGGGGAGCTAAGGCCCCACAGTGCTGCGTAGCACTGCAAAAAAAAAAAAAAGAAATTACATGGTGATCCGACAACAGCTATGACTAAGGCATCATAACTAGCGCTGGAAGATGTAACCTGTGCCAGTCCCCGTTGTGAGCGCTTGCTGTCTGAAGCACTTAGCCCATGCGCTGGCGCTGCAGTGGCACCCCATCCCCGGGTTCTGATGAGGGCACACGCACGGAGGTCCAGGAACAACCAGGGCACAGCGGCACAGCCATGAAGCCTGGGTCCAAACGGGTTTCCTGACTCGGAGCCTCCCGGCCGCCGTGTGAAACCTGTTAGCGGCATGAGTGGAATCCCAGACTGCCCAGGACAGGCGGGGAAGTTCACATGGGAGGAGGTGGTTGAGAGCAGCCTTGAGGAACAAATATGAATTTGCCACAAGAAGGCTGGGTTCCTTTCAGGGAGATGAGCGTATGTGCACGGAGAAAGTGGGAGAGACCCTGGCGTCTCCCAGAGAGCCCACAGCGTCATGCAGCTCCAGGAGAGGGCGAGCGGAGGATGGGGGGCCTCGGGGCGGCAGGTGGGGGCAGGCTTGGGCCACATCACCCCACGTGGAGGAAATGAGGCTTCGGCCTCTGAAGAATTCTGAGCACAAACAGGGAATGGCTGGATTTTGGAAAGATCATGGCTCTCTGAAATTTCGGGGTTCCTGAGCCCTTGAGCTTTGGAATAAACATTCCTCATTAGTTTGGGGGAAAAAGTTAGATACGTATTGTTATGGGTTGACTTGTGTGTCCTTAAAAGATGCTGATGTCCTCATTCTCAGAACCTGTGGATGCGACCTTCCTGGGAATGGGGTCCTCACAGATATAACCAAATTAAGGTGAGTGTCCTCTCCAGTATGACTGGTGACCTCATAAAAATAGGTGAAAACAGAGAACCTGGGAGAACACCACGGGAAGACAGTGGCACAGATAGAAGTAATGCAGTTGCAAGCCAAGGATTGCCAGCCTCCAACGAAAGCTAGGAAGAGGTAGGAAAGATCTTTCCCTAGAGCCTTCGGAGGGCGCGTGGCCCTACTGACCCCTTGATTTGGGACTCTGAGCTGCCAAAACTGGGGGAGAATAGATTTCTGCTCTAAGTCACCCGGTCAGTGGTCCTTTGTTACTGCAGCCCAGACAACAAATGCACCAACTTTGCTTTTTCTAAACGTGTTCTTCAGCAGTTCATGTCCGGGAGATACTGTGTCTTGTGCTAAAGAGCCTAAGAGGGGGCTTGCCTGGTGGTCCAGGGGTTAAAAATCTGCCTGCGAGTGCAGGGGACACCGGTTCGATCCCTGCTCCAGGAGGATCTCACGTGCCCTGAGGCAACTAAACCCAGGTGCCTGAGCCACAGTGCCCTAGAGTGGGGGCTGCAGCTACTGAAGCCGTGCGCCTGGAGCCCGTGCCCACAGCAAGAGGAGCTGCTGCAGTGGGATGCCCCGATCTCCACAGCTAGAGAGAGCCCCCGTTCCCCAAAATTAGAGAGATCCCCTGCCCTCCACAGCTGGAGAGAGCCCCTGTGCGTGCAGACGTAGTCCGACAACGAGGAAAGAGCATAGAGGATAACATTAGTTATTGCACATAAGAATATAAGTTCTTTGCCTGTTCTCAGTACTATGGTGTTTCATGTTAATCCAACAAGAGGAGTAAGCATTTGAAAAGTAGAAGTTCCTAATCTCAGTTTATTCACTTTAAGTGCCGAGTCATTAATCTGAAAGGAAAAAATTGCCTTGAGTGAATTTACTGTGCTTTCCTTTGTAAACATTTGCTGGCTGAATTTGCACAATACAATGATTTACCTGCACTTCACTGCCTGGTTTCAAAAGTTGTTTTTTAATTATTCCAAACATTTATTGAGCTTTAGGACCCACTAAAAGTTAGCCAGGTGGGTTTCCTGGCTACATCAGGGCTTGTTGGTTTAGATCTAAAAGTTAGCCAGGTGGGTTTCCTGGCTACATCAGGGCTTGTTGGTTTAGATCCCGTAAAAGAGGTTCCTTATGAGGACAGGCATGTACAGAAGAGGGACTCTGGAGTGTAAATGAGTCAGGAAAGCTATTACTGTTACTATACTAACTAATGTGGAATTAGTATTATAACAACATCATCATGCAGTGTTTGCCACAAAGTATGCAAACCATCTTAAAGCACATGGCACTGTGTAGCCTGTCTTTATAATGTATAAGATACTGTGTCAATTATATCTCAGTAAAGTTGGAAACAATGTAGAAATACTTGATATTGGAAATCAGTGTTTTGGATTGCTTATCTATGCCTGTGAGAAGGTTTTTAAGCAGTTCATTTTTATTTTATGCAGGCTCTGCTTGTTTTTATTCTCCTTAGTTCATTTTGTTTATGGGTTTATTTGCACTTGTTTGCCTAACTGGTTTGGGGTCATGTTTCATATTTTTAACTCTTTCATCTCACCTATTGTCAATTCCCACTCGGTTAGCACTATCTTTCTATCCTTTCTTTAAATAAAAATTTTAATAGTTTGGAAGAATTTGATACATACCTATATTAAATATTAGTATGTTTAGATTAGAATAATGTCCTTTGGGGTTTCATAAACTTTGGGAACATTTATATTGGTGGTGAATAGACGGGGGGGAAATGAAAAAAGTGACATTTTATTTTCTTGGGCTCCAGAATCACTGTGGATGGTGACTTCAGCCACAAAATTAAAAGACACTTGCTCCCTGGAAGGGAAGCCATGACAAACCTAGACAGAATGTTATAAAGCAGAGACATCAGTTTGCTGACAAAGGTCCATGTATTCAAAGCTATGTTTTTTCCAGTAGTTATGTATGGATGTGAGAGTTGGATTGTAAAGAAGGCTGAGTGCCGAAGAATTGATGTTTTCGAATTGTGGTGCTAGAGAAGACTCTTGAGAGTCGCTTGGACTGCAAGGAGACCAAACCAATCAGTCCTAAAGGACATCAACCCTGAATGTTCACTGGAAAGATTGATACTGAAGCTGAAGCTCCAATACTTTGGCTACCTAATGCAAAGAGCCAACTCACTGGAAAAATGCTGATGCCGGGAAAGATTGAGGGCCCGAGGAGAAGAGGGTGACAGAGGATGAGATGGTTAGACAGCACCTATGCTATTTAACTGGAGAAGGAAATGGCAACCCACGCCAGTGTTCTTGCCTGGAGAATCCCAGGGACGGGGGAGCCTGGTGGGCTGCCATCTATGGGGTCACACAGAGTCGGACACAACTGAGTCGACTTAGCAGCAGCAGCCAGCAGCAGCATGCTATTTAATGGACATGAGTTTGAGCAAACTCCAGGAGATAGTGAAGGACTGGAAGCCTGGTGTGCCACAGTCCATGGGGTGGCAAAGAGTCAGCCACGACTTGGTAACTGAACAACAATATTGGTGATGAAGAGAACTTTCTGAATGATACTGTTAAATATCAACCAGTAGGTGGCGAAAACTGGCAATAAAACCCTTTTTGTTTGGCAGATCGGAGAATAAAGAAGGGAAGCAAAGGCCTTTGAGACACTGGGTATGATCTCCATTCCCTGCGTCTTGTCCTTTTCTCTCCCTGGTACCACCCACCGCTGAACCCAGCCAGCAAAGCTGGGAAAAGGACCAACCATCGGCTCTTAAAAGTGGAAGACGTCTTGGCAAGTGAAATCCCACTGCCTACATTTGGAAGGTTATTGGAAGGTCTCTAGGTTTGTACCTAGGACTTCTGACTCAGACCGGTGCCCCTCCGACCAGGTCACCAACTCAGTTCATTCACACACTTCTGAGGAATGCTTGCCCTGACACTTCTGGTGGAATCTGATAAGCATGCAATCTGAATGGAGGAGTGGTTTCACTGTCTTGATTGAAGGATTACCCAGAACATTCCCAGGGAATATTTAGCCTTAGTCAAGATTAATGCAGACCTGTCCTGAGAATGTTGGATTATCAAGGTGCCACTTAAGTGTGGAAGAATCTGTGGAGTAAAGGAGAGAAGGAAGGCTTCCCTTCACTCGGAATGGGCTCTGCATCCTTCTGGTCGTCCCCCCACCCCCACCCACCACTCGCTTCCTCGCTCACATGCTGGGTTGCAAGCACTGAGGCTTTCAGTTCCTCCTAAGTAACTTCAGGAGTTAAGGCAAGTTCTGAGAAGACCCCTACCCAAGGATGGGTGGCCTCAGCTTGGCTTTCCTCTGTTTCTGTGAGAACAGATCCCCAGGCCACCATGCCTCACCATCACTGCCGTGGAGAAAAGAGGCGATGGTCCAGCAGCTGGAAGCAGGAACGACCATCTTCTTTTACTCCTTGCCTGGATGAGACGTTTGCACCAGGTACGCATGCCTACAGGCCAGAGGTGGGCTGGCATGTCGGCTGACTGGCTTTGATAAATGAACAGATGAAAATAATTTCCCGTGCTTATTTTACCAAAGAATGAACGTGTTGATTTTAGTCTAGGAAGGAGACCAAATACAGTGTGAGAACGCATGTGCATACCCCGCAGTACTCAACCCTTCTATTTCTAAGACCACAGCAAACGAGGCTGCCCTTAAGTCTTACTTGAGCCTTATCGGGTGTTACTCACTCCATTGCGTGTGTGCGACTCTTGGCAACCCCATGGACTGTAGGCCGCTAGGCTCCTCTGTCCATGAAATTCTCCAGGCAAGAATACTGGAGTGGGTAACCATTCCCTTTTCCATGGGATGTACCTGACCCAGGGATGGAACCCTGGTCTCCCTGAATTGCAGACAGATTCTTTACCATCTGAGCCGCCAGGGAAGCCCAATTAACTAAGCCGCCATGCTATTAGTAAACATTTTTTCCCCTGGCACTTTGTCAAAGACTTTTAGAAATAAAAATAAGCACATGCAACTTGTCTGCCCTCTGTGGTTTTTTTCTGGGGGCCATTTGTACTGATGAATTTTTTTAAATGTTTACGTATATAAAATGTATATGTATGAATGTGTATAAAAATATTAAAAATGTGTACACATATGTGTATATACAGGTTGGTGTATGTATAGATAACTCGAGAAGGTGCAGACGTCTAGAACTGACTGCTGGACAACCTCGGAAGCCTTTAGAAACCCACCCGCCCTGACTGTGGGGCTAAGGGCCTAAAACTGCCCCCGCGGCTGCTAACCCAGCGCCGAAATGGTTGCGAGCAAGGAAAAAAAGAACCTGCCTGCAATGCAGGAGACCTGGGTTCGATCCCTGAGTCAGGGAAATGCCCTGGAGAAGGGACAGTCTTGTTGCCCGGAGAATCCCATGGACAGGGGAGCCCTCGGGCCGCAGTCCCTGGGGTCGCAGAGCCCTCCACCACCACTCGCTCCGAACAGCGCTCGGCCGCCCCGGCCGTCCGTCCGCGGGCCCGGGAGCCGCGTCTAGCCTGGGCCCGGGTGGGGTCTCCGAAGCGCGCCCTCTGCGTGGACAGCCAGGAAGCAGCTGGAAGGAAACGCGAGGCTCGGGGCTTCCCTCGCGGAGGCGCGCGCGGCGTGGCCTCTCTTCTCGGGAGGCCGGCGCCGAAGCCCCCTGCTTGGGGTCAGCAGCGGCCGAGTGTGGACACCCGGGGTGCGGACGCGCGCGCCCGCGAAGCGCGCGCCCCGCGGCTAGAAAGGGTCCAAGCGACTCCCGGCGCCGGTTTTCTCGGTGTCTCCCGCCTCTGCCCCCGGCAACCGACCCCCGCCGCGGGCGGATCCCCGGGCGCCCCCGGGCCCTCGCGGGCCCCGGAGACCCCGAGCATTAGGAAAAGAGGGGGAAAAAAAAATCAAGCCCTCCCCCGCCAGCGCCGCCTCCCACCCTCGCGGCACCACACACAGCGCGGGCTCCTGGCGCTCGGCACCGCGGGGCCGGCGCGGCCAGCCTGCGTCTATCGGCAGTTCTTCGGAAAATGCATTGGCCGTTCGGAGTTTGATCCGGAGAGGATCCCCGCCCGCGTCCCCGGCTCGCCCGTCGGCCCCGGCCCGGTGTTCTCTCCCCGGGGAGGCGTGAGGCGGCCCCGCGGATACAGATCCATGTGTGTGCCCGCGCGTGTGTGCGCGCGTGAAAATTGCCGAGAAGGGGAAAATCACAGGACTTCTGCAAATACCGACTGAGAAATGGTAATTCATCCGCCGCCGCCGCTGCCTTCCGTTTGCCCGTGCTCTTGAGATCTCCGGTTTGGATTCCTATGGATTGACATTTCTATGAAGAAGTCTGGGAATCAAACTGGAAATTCTCCTAATTTTTTGCACCCCCTCCCCCAACTCCTGATTCATTTGGAAGTTTTCAGAGCAGCTCTAACTGGAGAGTTCTGAAGATTGATGGAATCTTTTTGCCTTTTCATTTGTTTTCACAAAAAAGGAAACTTGACAGAGGATCATGCTGTCCTTAAAAAATACAAGTAAGTTCTTTGCACAGGAAATTGGTTTAATGTAACTTTCAATGGGAACCTTTCGATTTTTACTTTAAGTGCTTTGGAGTAAGTTTAATTTCCAGGCAGTTTAATATATTCTTCTAAGCGTGTAACTTGTAGTGTGTGTGCCCTGCTTTCAACCAGCGTATAGAGGGAAACGCACCTGATTTTGACTGATTAGTTTTTTTAACCTTTCAGCATCACGGAGGAGGTAGACTGATATTAACAGTAATTAATAATGTGCTTCATGAAATAAAGATCCGAAAGGAATTTAAATAAAAATTTCCTGCATCTCATGCCAAGAGAGAAACACCAGAATCAAGTGTTCCGCGTGATTGAAGACACCCCCTCATCCAGGAATGCAAAGCACATCCAATGAAATAGCTGGATTATAACTCTTCACCCCTCCTGCGGGGCCGTGGGGCAGGCAGCGGGGGGCGAGAGGTGCTGTGGGGACCCGGCTGCCCTTCCGCTGCGGAAGGATGGCGCACGCGGGGGGAACAAGCTACGATAACCGGGAGATCGTGATGAAGTACATCCACTATAAGCTGTCGCAGCGGGGCTACGAGTGGGATGCGGGAGATGCGGGCGCCGCGCCCCCCGGGGCCGGCCCCGCGCTGGGCATCCTGTCCTCCCAGCCGGGCCGCGCGCCCGCCCCCTCCAGGACCTCCCCGCAGCCGCCCCCGGCCGCCGCCGCCGGGCCTGCGCCCAGCCCGGTGCCACCTGTGGTCCACCTGACCCTGCGCCAGGCCGGCGACGACTTCTCTCGGCGCTACCGCCGCGACTTCGCCGAGATGTCCAGCCAGCTGCACCTGACGCCCTTCACCGCGAGGGGACGCTTCGCCACGGTGGTGGAGGAGCTTTTCAGGGACGGCGTGAACTGGGGGCGCATCGTGGCCTTCTTCGAGTTCGGCGGGGTCATGTGCGTGGAGAGCGTCAACCGGGAGATGTCGCCCCTCGTGGACAGCATCGCGCTGTGGATGACCGAGTACCTGAACCGACACCTGCACACTTGGATTCAGGACAACGGAGGCTGGGTAGGTGCTCGTCCGGGTGGGCGTCAGGGCCCGGCGCCTCGGGTCCCAGTGTGGTCGGAGGGTGGGGTGTGGCTGGGCCCAGGGTCAAGGGCAGGCCGGTGAAGTGAAACCAGGTGTGTGGCCTCCCTTTCTCTTCCCCTGCAGAGAGCTCTCCCTGCCAACCCTACTGTGATCACTTCTTCCCTGGAGACATTGCTTCCCTTGCCTGCCAGCCACTGAGGTTCAAAGATCCAGCCTTTGCTGGATCAGTAGAATCTGGGGATAAAGGGCATCCCTTCAAGGTTTCTCAAACTGGGAGTCCAGGGATCCCCATGATCACGGTACTTGGCCGAGTAGCTTATTGAAAAGGAGCATTTCAGGGACAACTCATAAACTGGACACGAGGCTGAGTCCTGTCTATCTGCATCAGAAATAAGCTCCCCTGGGGGTTTCTGCTTTGTCCTAAAATTTGGGAACTACTGGATTAGAAGAACAGATTCCTCTAGAGGCCCAGGGGCCTGCCTTCTCTGACTCACTTGGTAAAATCTACCCAAAGAGGAAAACCAGCTTAGCCCCTTTCCCTAGAAACTTGGATGACTGTGAAAAGGTAAGTTGACTTCCAGAGTCCGGTGACACTGACCTCCAATTTGTGCCACGTTCCTAGTGGGCAATGACCTTGTGTCTTGAAGAACCCTTGGCTATGGGTGTTTGTTTCATCACTGACAGATTTCGCATTGGCCGCCTACCTTGTGTTCTATTTCCATAACTTGTGTATGATTTAGAAGTTTACTGGAATTTTTAGTATATTTTATTTTCCACCCTAACCTCCTAACCTACAATGCACATCGTTTGGTGGGATCCTCTGCTGGGCAAACTTGCATCCAGAGTATCTGTATAAAGATAGAAGAATTGATTCTTAGCTGTGGATTCTCATGCTGTGACTTTAGTTGAAGTGATTGATGCTTGTATTTTTGAAGAACATCTGTGAGCTTTTTTTCCCCGGTACTGTTGTGCTAGGCAGAGCCTCTGTCATGTCACCATGAAGCTCTGTTTGTGAGTGTGATTCTCTGAGGGAGGGGTGCAGCTCCGAAGACTGAAGAAGTGTCATTGACATCTGTACTTCATATCTGAAATGATTAATTTGTGAAAAAGTGAAAGGAATAACTGGTTCAAGTTTTTTGCAGACTTTTTGTTTTAATCTGAAGAGGTGTCTTTGAAAAAGGATGCCATTCAGTGCCTCCTTTTACAGTCTCTAGGAGGATTACTAATATTATTATTTTATAGGACCTAACAGGAGTAAAAACCTTAGAAGTCACTACATGTGGGTTCGACTTCAAAAAGCACGTTATCTATTTTATACGGTTACAAAGTGTGCTAGTATTAGGGGGCTGAAAAGAGAAAAGTCCAAGAAAAGCAGATGACTGACGTGAACATCTGATCCAACTTGACCAAAGTTGACAAAATATTGATGCCACTGTTTAGTGTTTAAAAGTGAAAATCCCCACTTAATCTCTAAAATTTATTAATAAATGCTTTTTGTGAACTGTTTGTTTCTTTTAGATCCCATTTTACCAGATCTTTAGTAATTTTGGAAGAGTTCTGTAGAAGGTGTAAGGAATATTTTTGTTAAATGTTTGATTAAGTAGGTGATTTTGTTTTTAACCACTATAACCAAAGAAGTAGGGACTTCCAGACGCCAAAAGGATCATTTCGAGACCAAAGTAAAACTAACTGAACAGTCTATTACATACTTTTGTGAAAAAATATTAAAAATTTTTGCTTTCTGGTTGAAAGAAAGCCAAGGTGGTAACTGTCATGTGTCAAGTAATTCAATGAAAAGATGGGAAATGGAGACATTTGTTTATGATAGAAATTAAGATGTATTCTTGATCTTTGTTGTCAAGTTGTGCTATATTAACATCTCATACAATTGGATTTTCTTTTTAAGTGAAGGCTCGCTCTTTCCTCCTTTCAAAATAGAATTTTCTTAGTAGAGCCTATCTTTGTGGTCAACAGGTATCTGAGGTTGATAAATGTAGAGGCTACATTTTATGATGCCAAACCACAATGACGTACCATAGAACATGATAAACTTTTTCTTGACAAAACCTCTTATAGTAAAAATAAATCATATAGAAGCACAAATTGCTGATGGTGAAATGTGTAGCATTCAGGACAATATAGAGATGGATGACTAAATAGGAAAACAAAGGACTTTGGCAGAAAAAAGTGTGAGGAAATGCTATCATAAATGGGCACTTTGGAATAATAAAAGAGGTAGTATTATTTGAGAAGTATATTTGGGAGTCTGATTTACATGTCCTTTCCAAAGATGCATTACGAATCTAAGTTTTTATTTCGAGCATTTGGCATCCAGACAGATTTTCCTCCCAGTTTGCACCAATCAGGGTTGCTTCTCGCATAACATGTGTTGTGGTATGGCGTGAAGGACTCGGTGCGGATGGGCAGGTTTCGGAGGAGAGCTGGCATGCCCTTCTGATGTTGGACAGTAACGTGCAGCGCTTACAGGGCTCAGTGGATCAGCCAGCCCATCTGCTAAATCTGTTCTGATGGGGGCTTTAGACTCGAAGTCACATTTGCACTTTGCTGCTGCTGCTTCTGAGGCTGAGGGAGAACGGTCTGCTCTCCGTGCTCCATAAGCTGGAGAAAGCAGGGCCTTGGATGGTAAGTGCCTGAGAGGTGGTTTCAGAAGTCTGCACGTTGCACAAACTCTGAAGAAGAAATTGGCTGTGGAGTGGACTGTGGCTTTATCCCAGAGTCTGGATAAAGCATCCAGAGGGAGGCAGGATGGCAGCGCAGCGAGGCAGCAGTGGTTCTAGGAAGCATCTGAGAACTGCCGCTCCACATGTGGGAGCTCGCGGGCATCCCCTGGGAGCGTCTTGGAGGAGCAGAGCCTCAGGTCCCACCCCGAGCCTCTGAGTCAGAGCCTGTGGTTCACACATCTACAGGTGTTGGGGTGCACAGGGCAGTTAGAGGTGCTGGCTGCCATCACCGACCACTGATTCCCGTGACATCTTTTAGGAAAAATGAGAGTCCGGGAGGGGTCCTGCAGCGTCCCTTTCCAGTGGCCTCCTGGGATCCATGGTGTTACCTAGGATGCCAGGTACTTCCCAGCTATCTGCTAGAGTGGCCTGAGCTTTGGAGGAGAGAGGCTGGAATGCTGTAGAGACGAGCGGAGTGATCATAAGCTCTGACCTCAAGGATGTTTTTCGTGATAACTATACAGTCTGTGGGCCTTCCTCGGAGGCTCAGTGGTAAAGAATCTGCCTGCAATGCAGGAGACAAGGGTTCCATCCCTGAGCCAGGAAGATCCCCTGGAGGAGGGCACAGCGACCCACTCCAGTCCTGGCGGGCTACAGTCCATAGGGTCAAAGAGAGTCAGACACGACTGAAGCAGGTGAGCGCAGCTCAATGTGTACTGGCATTGGTGGCCCCGTTAAAGAAAGATAGCGTTCCCACTCCTGGTCAAGACAGGAACCTTAACTCTTAATGGCTGTGTTCAGTATTGTTTTATCCCCTTGTAACTCAGTTCAGATTTCTGTAGATGAGTTTAGGGGCCCTGGGACCACTGCATGGCCACGGCGGCTTTTGCAAGCAGAGGGTTGGGATGTAGGCAAGTGGATGGTGAACGGTGCGCTCTGAACTGAGAAACGTGAGAACGTTTTGCTTCCTGTCTTAGGAGAGAGGGAGATGTCTGACAACTGCAAGGATAAGATGCTTTAATAGGCGATTGGCTTCCTTCTGTTGAGATGGTGGGGCAGCTTTTTTTGTGTGCTCATGTTTTGGTCTCTGTGGTTTAGGAAGACAGGAACTTACTTCTCCACATCCAGTAGAGGTTAGCTTCCTTTTTATTAGTTGGTCAGCAAGCAGTTTCTCTTTTCTGTACATAGTCCACATCCACTCAAACATTTGATTAACTGGAAAGCAAGACCATTCTTAGGCCAGTGTACAAAATACATGAGAAAACATCATTTTTTTAGTGGTTGGATGTTAGCTGCTTAAGGCCAGTTTTGGCAGCAAAATGATAGGATTAAAAATAGCCCAAAGATGATCCAGTCTTAAATAATATATTTAATGATGAACTTTCCTTGGGAAAGTGCATCTTTCTGCCTGCGAAGAATCATATGACCCCTTTCAATAATTTATTCTGTAGAGAAAAGATACAGTATGGCTCCTAGACTTTGCAGTCATGTGCTGTTGAGCAATCACATTTGGGGACTTTTGTAAAATTTGACAGTTCACTCAGTTCTCTTTTCTGTTTTAGGGCCTTTGTTGCTGTTTAATGTCAGTCGAAAACATGGCTTTCTTCTGTGCATCCTGTTACTTTTAGCTGTGCTTTCTAGTGAGAACGGATTGATCTTTTTAGCAATCCTTGGTTGAACTAGTACATTTCAGAGTCGCTAAATGTCATTAGGCCACATAGTACACCAGGTAACAGAAAGCCACAGATTTTTTTTTTAAGCCAAACTTTTATAGTTTATCTTTCCTCCCAGTCCTTGTCAGCTTTTTGGAGGCTGATAAACCCACTCATAAAGCAGGTGTGTGGGTACCGTGTGTATTAATAGCAGTATCTCCCACTCAGTACACCCCACACCCATTTCTGAGGTCACCCGTCGTGTCTTCGCAGGGGCAGTATTTCAGCAGTATTGCAGCATTTGTGCTGGAAAAACAACACTGTCTTTGTAGCGTACGAGTAAAAGGTTTTCTCTACCCCCAGAGATACATTGTGTTTGAGGTTCAAAGGTTCTGCTAAACCTTTTTAAAGTAACCTAATAGCGCCTGACTCAGGTACGGCGGTAAGCTCGCACGCTGGTGCCCCTTCCCCCAGCTTCATATAGGGGACCACTCGAAGAAGCGAGTCCAACACGGGGCTCTCCTTTCATCCCTCTTGGTTTGATTCAAACCAAGTCAGTGTGTGAGGCTGAAACAGGATTAAGGATGAAAGTTAGCCGAGGACTAGGACGGTTATTCAGCAGAGCTGATTGCACGTCTTCTCTGTG